TCTTTATACAACAAAGTCTTGAAATAGATAGTCAATATCGGTTTAACTGGACATTTGCTTCAATTGCGATCTCAGATGTGATCTACGAGAGACTCGAGAGTATATACGAGGTGCATGCTTGTTGCCTCATGACTATACGTGTTATACACATTGAAATACATTCTTAATTCTTGTACTTTTTTCTTTTAAACCTATTTTGAAATGCATTGTTAACTCTTGTACTTTACTTTTACCTCTCTTCATTGAAAATACAAAGCAATCGCACCGTAACCATTAGCTTCACTTGCGCCGCATATAACTAACTTATGGAAAGGTAATGCTCTAAGGCACAGGCATGCTTTAAGTTGTGTGCGTTTTAGACGAGAAAATCAATCATGAACATTAAAATGAACTTATTGAAATTGTTATTTCATTTGAGATCCTACCAAAAAGGTAGTAAGTAATATAAAAAAGTGGAGCCTGTCACCGCAGGTTGTGGTCTTCGGGTTGAAGCAGCGCTCTCCGAGTTTAAAGGCGGAAAACTTTTCGAAAAGGGTTAGTTCAAATAAAGAACAATAGGCTTTCGACAAATGACGCGGTGGTCTAGTGTTTAAGACTGCGATCTCTCAATCCCGGGACAAGGGTTCAAGTCCTGGTAAGGCAAAAAAATTAGCCTTGAAAATTTCGGTATGATTTGTAAGCTTGAAAAAGTTAAGACTCTCAGCTTTCAGGAAGGCTGTAAATTTGAAAGAAATTGGAAGTATAAAAAAATTGAGAAACATTTGAACAATTTTCGCTTAATAAAAGTACGTAAAATTGATAATAAAACGCAAGTCAAAAAAAGTTTGAAAACATGTGTCTCCAAAAAGGCTGAAAATTAAAACATGTCCGACTAAAACTTTAAAAAAAGTTTAAAAATTTCCCGCTTTTAATGCTAATGTTTACGTATCTTAAAATAAATTTTTTTTTCACGAAAATTTGACAGGGTGATTTTCTCGAGCCTGAAAAAATTTACTTTTTTTCACTTTTTTGAAATTCTCTTAGATTTTTTTTTGAGGAAGAAGTATTTTGTCTTGGGCTACCTGTGTTGGTCTTGGGCTACCTGTGTCATGACCAACACAGGTAGCCCAAGACAAAAAACTTCTTGGTCAAAAAAAATCTAAGAGAATTTCAAAAAAGTGAAAAAAAGTAAATTTTTTCAGTCTCGAGAAAATCACCCTGTCAAATTTTCGTGAAAAAAATTATTTTAAGGTACGTAAACATTAGCATTAAAGGCGGGAAATTTTTAAACTTTTTTTATTGTTTTAGTCGGACGTTTTCTAATTTTGAGTTTTTTCAAGAGACACATGTTTTTAAATATTTTTTGACTTGCGTTTTTTTATCAATTTCCACGTACTTTTATCAAGCGAAAATTGTTCAAATGTTTCTCAATTTTTTTTTACTTTCAATTCCTTTCAAATTTACAGCCTTCCTGAAAGCTGAGTGTCTTAACTTTTTCAAGCTTACAAGTCATACCGAAATTTTCAAGGCTAATTTTTTGCATTGCCAGGACTTGAGCCCTTGTCCCGAGATTGGGAGATCACGGTCTTAACCACTAGACCACCGCGTCATTTGTCGAAAGCCTATTGTTCTTTATTTGAACTAACCCTTTTCGAAAAGTTTTCCGCCTTTAAACTCGGAGAGCACTGCTTTAACCCGAAGACCACAACCTGCTGTGAAAGGCTACACTTTTTTATATTACTTACTACCTTTTTGGTAGAATCTCAAATGAAATGACAATCTCACTAAGTTCATTTTATTGTTCATGATTGATTTTCTCGTCTAAAACTCACACAACTTAAAGCATGCCTGTGCCTTAGAGCACTATCTTTCCATAAGTTGGTTATATGCGGCACAAGTGAAGCTAATGGTTACGGTGCGATTGTTTTGTATTTTTAATGAACAGAGGTAAAAGTAAAGTACAAGAGTTAACAATGCATTTCAAAATAGGTTTAAAAGAAAAAAATACAAAAATTGAGAATGTATTTCAATGTGTATAACGCGTATAGTCTTGAGGCAACTAGCATGCACTTCATATAGTCTCGTAGATTACATCTGAAATTGCAATTGAAGCAAATATCCAGTTAAACAGATATTGAATATTTATTTCAAGACTGTTCGTCGCCGCTTCGTCTAGCTGGTTCGTGGAATATAAAATACGCTAATCTAATATTTGAACCTTTGGACTATAAATAGAGACCAACGTCTTAACAACTGCTTGACGACCACATCGTTTGTCGATAAGCTATTGTTCTCTATTTGACTTAATCGTTTCTTCGAAGAACTTTTAAATATGTGTTTAACTGGATATTTGCTTCCATTGCGATTTCAGATGTAATCTACGAGGCTACGAGGTGCATGCATGTTGCCTCATGATCACACGCGTTATCCACATTGAAATATATCTTTATTTCTTGTACTTTTTTCGTTTAAATCTTTTTGAAATGCATTGTTAATTCTTGTACTTTACTTTGACTTCACTTCATTAAAAATACAAAAAACTGCACCATAACCCTTAGCTTCACTTGGGCCGCATATAACTAACTTACTGGGAAGATAGTGTTTTAAGGCACTGCATATCTGTATGTGATATTTTAACGACATTTAAGTTACAAACTACGAATAAGATGCAGTTGTGTTCGTTTTAGACAAGAAAATAAATCATGAACATTAAAGTAAACTCATTTAAATTGTTATTTCATTTGAGATCCTACCCAAAAGGTATTCAGTAATATAAAAAAGTATAACTTTTCTCCGCAAGTTCGTGCGGTGTACTGGAGAGGGCAGTGCTCCACGAGTCCAAAGGCGGAGGTTCGAGACTCCGAGTCCTAGATGGGAATGTTTTTTTCTTCTATTTCATCAAAGTCCTTCCAAAAAAAGATTAAGTAAAATAAAAAACTGTGGGCTTTCACCACAAGAACTGGTGGTGTAGTGGTGAAGAGGGTGATCTGCCAAGTATACAGTCGATGGTTCAAGTCCTGGATAGACCGAAAAAAAACAAGGTAATAAAGTGAGAATTTGTGAGTGTGAGAGGAGTAGAGCGAGAGGGCTAATATGCCCTCGCCTTGGGCGAAGAGTAGACAGAGGGGGGTTCTCTTTCCCCCGGCTTTCCTGACTTTCAAAGCAAGCTTTCTTCAAACATTTAAGAGTGTTATGGGATAGTTAGGGATATATGAGGATAAGTAAAAGTAGGGATAGATAGGAGTAAAAAGGAGGATAAATAGGGGTAAAGAGGTTTAAATGAGTACAAAAAGACTTAAACATTTTATATACTGTTTTCTCACCTATACCCTCCCCCTTGCCCCCGGGAGTCGGGGCCCCCCTTGCCCCCGGGAGTCGGGGCCCCCCTTGCCCCCGGGAGTCGGGGCCGCCCAATTACTAAGTCTTTTTATACTCATATACCCTCCATTCACCCTACCTATCCCCTGATTTCCCTAAATTTCTCTAAAGATTAACTTTATTTGGCAAAGATTAACCGAGAACAAACCTCCCCAGAGCAACATACCTTCCATTTTATCCCATTTTACTCCTTTTTTTCCTGTTTTTTTTTGTTTTTTCTTTTTTTTCTTCCGCCATGAGAAACGTACCATGCTGATCCTGATACCACGATCTTGTACTTGATAGTCCACGACTTTACCACAAGGCTAACTGGTGATTGTTGGAAACCTACACTAACTTATTCACCATAACCTTACCATGTTTTATTAATAACGAAAATTTTCATCTAAAATGAGATTCGAACCCTTAACAGTCGACACATGAGACAAACATCTTGACCACAACACTACAAGACCTTGTGCTGAGCGCATACTGTCGTTTAATTTACTTCATTAAAAAAAACCACCAAAACGGTTATGGTAGGAGGCGAACCATGGATTTACCACCAGAGAAACAATGTCTTCGCCACTAGACTACAAGATCTTGTGCTGAACGGTAATGGTTATTTAATTTACTTGATCCTTTTCACGAAGATTATAGTGAAAAAAAGGTAAGTTTGGATTTGAACCATCGATTTACCACTTGGGAGATCATGGTCTTCGCCACTAGACTACGAGATCTTGTGTTACACGGCTATGTTTACTTAATTTACTTTATCCTTTTCACGAAGTTCATAATGAAAAACGGTTATAGTGGGACTTAGCACTTGGGAGATCATTGTCTCGCCACTAGACTACGAGATCTTGCGCTGAACGGCTATTATTAAATTTTACTTTACCCTTTCTTTTAAAGGATATAATGAAAAACAGCTATACTAGGTTCGACCATCTACTTACTACTTGGGAGACCACTAGACTACGAGATATTTTGCTGAACAGCTATGGTTATTTCATTTACTTTATCCTTTAACAAAGTTCCGTCATGATGAAACATTTTCTCCATGCATGCAAGGCTCGAACCATCAAGTTGCGAGACCACTTTGGTCTTCCCTAGACTATTTGCGAGACCACTGTGGTTTCCACAAGACGTACCATCGCTTAGCGTACAGCCACTTCATTTCCGACAGTTCAGGTTTTCCCCGTTTATTCCCCTCCTAAAAACGTTTATACACCACCTCCTAAAAACGACCCCCTGTGCCCCAAGGGTACCTTACAATTTTAGTCAAAATTGACCATTTTTTAAAAATTTTCCAAAATTGTGTTAACAGGTTGAAGACTGACCTTACCTTTTAAATTAAGGGGTACCATTTTGCCAGATATTGACAAACTTTTCAATGTTCCAGAAACAAACCAAATAAATTATGCTCAAAACCGAAAGAGATTAGTCTTAGTAAATATTTGAAGCCATTTTCAGCATGCTAACACATTTTAGAAAAATTTCGCAAATACAAATAAAAACAACATTCGCGCTATATTTTCACAATGAATGCACGACAAATCTTTTGAACATCCAGCTTCCAGGTATAAAGAGCCATGTTATTATTTGTATCATCGTCAATATATATTGTAATTTTGGATAAAATAATATTGAGCTTCATTGGAATATGACTGATTTTAGAAATTTATGTCGAGAATACACCAAATTTTGAAACCGAAACCCAAATCCGTAAAATAATAGTTACAATAGACTAAAATCAATGATCTTATAAAACACTGGATATAACAATTCATTAATTCAAACTACTTTTTAATAGGTATAGTTGCTATATCCGGTGTATTAATAGATCAGGTTTGGGGTCGATATTTAGGTGCCATTATTTACACGCAACATTTTTTTGCAGATTTTCGGCTTTTGCTGAATGTTAGAATTGTAGTGATTGATGTTGCTGTCTTGCTGACGTTAGCTACATTTTTTTCAGTTATCATATTTTTAAACTGAATTGGATTAAAAAGGTTTAGGGTTATATTAGTGACTGGTGTATTCTGGAGACTGGATTACCAGTCAAGAATGCAAGTGTTGTAAAATACTCTATCTTTCAAAACTATATATAAAAGTATTCCTTGTAATAATTTTGTTCGGTTTGAATAAATATATATTTCATAGTTTTGTATTTGATTCATTTAATCTACGGCCTTATACTGTCTCCACTAGACGTTAAATCATTGTGCTGTAATAACAGCGACGGTTCTGACATGGAATTATTTCTGTTCAAATCGGAAACTCTCCACTCTATGATATGAAATTCTGAGTTACCAAAACGCCGCTGTCCTCTTGGTGTCGCGGGCGCAGATGGGCATTTCCTATCAGCCATTGCGGCGTCACATTGTTGCGACGACATTGCGTCATCCGACGAAGAAGCATCAAGGACATCCGAAGCAAGTTCAATTACATCATCAGATTCTGGAGTATTCCGCTGGTCAGAGATGTCAAGGACGCTAGCGAGAGTGCGAGCTTGGTCCCCAGCGGTCTGAGACGGGTGTAGGCATGATTCTGGGGCTGCCATACGATGGCTCTCATCCTCCATGTCAGTGTTCGTTGACACAGCAGTGTTTAAAGGCTCATCTATTGTTTTCTCTTCCGAATTTGAGGTTACATCCGAGACAGCAACTGCGCCCCCCGGGCGACTCCTGAAACCTTGCGGACTAGCAATACTTGGTTGAGAAAAAGACGGAGGAGTCATAGAGAAGAATTGCTGAGCTGGGCCAGCCATGATTGGAAGTTCCAAAAGTTGAGCAATACGTTGTAATTTAATATGACGTAATGATGTTCGCCTGCGATGCAGACGCTGTTTTGCAGACATGCAGCGGATGTAATCATCGAACATAAACTTTGCCGTCAACAATGGCCTTCGTGGGCCACGCGTGGACCTCGCAAACGGTTCATGGATCGTTATAAATAATGATCGACTGTCGTCTTTGTCGGGAGAGATTTCCACGTCCTAATTATGAGAAGCAGATAGAGAAGTATGTGAATATATATTATAAAATAACATGTATATAACACGTGTTCAGATTGGTCGAAGCCCGTGTTTGAATCAGGCCATGCAAAAACGCAGATTTAATTCGCATTTTGAAATCAAACTTGGCACACTACCTCGTTGTTGTTATTTTATAAAACAATTACTTGATATTTGGAAATGTTGCTTGGGTTACAGAAAAGCTCGCAAAATCACTCGCCTCCGACTTGTGTTTCGCGCGCTTTTTTTAACTCTCGCAACATTCCCGCGTGTTTGGATCAGGCCATCCAAACACGGAAACCTTTAAGTAATTGTCTATTACTAATGTTTTGTGGGAAATATATAGTTTATATACCCAGGGAAAGAAAATATACATTACATATATATTACTATTCTTTGGGAAATTTGTAGCCACGTATAACCAGTCTTTGCCTATATAGTAGAGTATAAAGCATGCATGGATGCGCGGAAATATGAAATTTGTTTGAATGTATGAGTGTTGAGATACTGCTTCCCGATTGGTGAATCAAACACGATAACCGCACATTGTTTTTTTACAATGGGAGGATCGCAAAATAAAACATTGCATATCATAAAATATATATATCTATAACCTTCTGAAAGAAAATATAAAATGTTTCCAATTGTTTCCAAAAGAAAAAACACAAATAGTGCACGCACTCTTCAGACTTGTAATAATTCTACTACAGCGTGATTAAATGCTCCATGACACAAGAGCTTGGATTATAGTTGTGGAAGACACCAACCTGCAATAAAGCAACAAATTTGACCACTCCCCAACCAAGCCTCGTCGTGTCGGGCTCAACCAAAATAAACTGTGCTTCATCGATCACCAGAAAACGCCGCAAAGTTCTAAGGATTAAAAATGAAGAATTAAAAAACAAAAGGCTTATTTCAATTGAATGTAACAGATCAAGCCTGAGTAGATAAATATATAGAGGACAAAATTTGGGCGTCCCAACCTATTTTCATCCACAACAGTACAGGATATAAGATCGCTGTTATCTGAAACATAGATATAGCTTTGTTAAGTTGGAAATAACAGAAGAAGAATTACATATTGGCCTACAACCATGCAGGAATTGAACACATAATATCTATACATACTTAGATCTAAGACTTCACTTTCCTTGACAGAGTATTCAACTTTTGAGAGAGGTAATTGTCGTTCGGGTTCTCTGCGAACTGTCAAACTTAACTCGCGAACCATGAGGAAAACACGGACAGCCTGTGAGAAAGTGATTGACGTAAGATATGTATGACGTTTTCGATAATGCTTTCGATAGTGCAAACTAGTTGTGGTGTTTCCCTGAATGTTGCAATATTGTAATTTCATTATACGAATATTGCAATTTATTATTTATTCAAAAGAATTCACAGTCTGTGATTGGCTAATAGCCATGTGTGAAATCGTCATATCCAACCTGTGACGTCATAACGTGTGATACGACTTTAGTGTGATAAATAGTCGTATCCCACGTTTGACGTCACACGAATGGCGAAGACATCAACACAATGGCTTCCTCAAGTGAAAGGTTCGGCAACTTTGAGGAATACATGTTCGTTCTTTTAAATAAATAACAAAACATTTATTGAATTCGGTTTTCACATGATATGAAGAATTATCAAGTCTCAGTTTGTCATTATCAACCTCAGCCTTCGGCTTCGGTTGATAATGACAAACTTCGGCCTGATAATTCTTCATATCATGTGAAAACCGAATTCAATAATTGCCAATTTTTATACACACAAGCGCAGGATATGAGCTAACTTGCAATCCGCGCGCCTCGGCAGCTTATAAGCACATATACGACTTAAAAATATTGCAATTTTGATTTGCTACTTGCTTCGAGCAATTTCCGACCGGAAGTCGCAAAATTTTCGTGTCGCCGAAATTAATAATATTCATATTTCTGGCCAAAGTTCATTGTCTAATCGTTGAATTCAGAAATTTCAAGAAAAAAAAAAGATTAAACGGAAAGCGAATATAAAAGGCGTATAAAGGGGAAATTCAAGTTCGTATAGTAGCTATATAAATCAGTAATTGACAGTTGCAACTCGAAAGGCAACTTCCGTGCTCTGATCGCAACTTGCATCAGTTGCATGGAGCAGAGCAAAAAGCCAATAAACTTATTTTTCAAGTTCAGGGGAACGCAACATCCGGTTTGGTTGTAAACCTTGAGCTTGTAAACCTTGAGCAAAATACGTACTCTCTGAGTGTGTTCCACCTCGCCACAAGCCAAGCGCTTGGAAAACTCGATTCCAGTCAAAGGCGTTGCAGTCACTGGCAGGAGTAACGAGGCGTCCATCATTAAATGCTCCACGTTTAATGGTTTCACCTGCAAATAAAATTTGTAAATACAGATTGTTCAGCTATCTGTGAGCTATAACTAATGGGCCACTTGCATAATAACTTGTGATCTAGGTAACAAGAAGGACATAAATTACCACAGGTAAAAAGAGAATACTATAAAATAAGTATAAAAGATGGGTATGATTGGCTCGTTTATTTTGGCGGGAAACGATTCCGTCCGATTCCATTTTAATGTCCTCACCTTCATTTGTCTATACTCCGCTTCAAACATGTCAAGAAATACATCATCTCCCTTAAGGCAAATGCACATATCAGCGTTAATAATAAACGAGATTTAAAGGGGGGTTACAGACAGTCGCTTCTGCGCATTCATAACAATGGGTAGTCTACTTCTTTCAAAATTGCTCAAATTTCGCATGTTTCGTATATTTCTGAACATAAACTCTCTCTCATATTCATTTAGGAGTATAGAAAACTAAAAGCGTGTCAAATATTGTGAAAGTTCTCGATATTTTAGGAAATATACGGATTCAAAATGTCAACAAAGCGTTTGTTTACGTTACGGACTGTAACCTTTAAAATGAATAATTGGGTCACACTGGCTGTTTAATTTTCATAATTGGTCAAAAGACATGGTTATTATAACTCTGGGGCCGGTTGTAGCTATAAACCTTGTTAACAACATTTTGCATAGTTAAAAAATCCTAGTTAACTCAGAAATACACAACTCTGATGGGCCAATTCTGTTCTTATAGCTACAGTTGAAAGTTAACCGGCTCCAGCAGGCTAGTTACTCCGGCGTCAGCGACGGAGTTGAAAATTCGCCCCGGTTTTGTTTTGTTTTTGTTTTTTTTTTATTTTTCGTCGTCGCAAGTCTGTAATGGCGCGAAATATACTAGTATTTAAAACGTGTAGGTGACCGTATTTATCTACGTCCCAGTCTTATCTCCCAAGAGTTGTGGTGCACAGCTTTGGCTAATTCTCCAATGCGCGATTCGATTTCGCTCGCATGATACGGCAATTCCTCCAAGAGGAACAAATAAACCGTTCTTTTCATGCTGTTCGATTAAGTTTAGATTGAATTGGAGTAAGAATATATTTGATACATGTAGACCCGGTCCTATTTTAATAATATCGCTGCTATTTCGCCGTTTAACAAGATGATGTGGTCGTGTATGGGCGCGTTGACACGTCGCGTAGTTTGCACAGGATCGAAGATTTAATACAACTATATAAGCGCGAATTCCAAAGGCAAAGTGTATCATGCGGTTTATTTACATTTTTGAACAATTGAACTTCTATACTGCGATGTGCTTCTGAATTTCGCGATCGAACATTTAGGTTCGTAAGGCATCTAAATGCGAATATGTATGCGAAACAATACGCGAACTGTATTGTTTATGTTCAGAAGCTCTATATTGAAGACTGGCACGTGCGCCGGAGTTAACGCCAGAACGGCGTCTTGTTTATTATAAAAAGCTGTCAAAAACACTTGCGATGAAAAATTTGTTTGGTTTGGATGTAAAATCACCCTAAAGTTGCCCGTGGACTGATTTCTAAGCAAATTTCAAAAATTTTCGAAAAAGAATAACTTCAGCTAGCTCACCTTGTAGTAATTTCGAAGTTCCAGTGTACAAGACTCACGAACGTTCTAGGAAAAGAAAAATACCTAAATATCGAATTTGAAGAAAATACTTTCCAATTTCTTACAGAAGGATTCACATTATTACCTCAAGCAAGGCAAGATGAAAGTCTTTTAAAACAGTTTCTCCAGGGTGACCATTGTAAACTAATTGTTTGAGTAAAATAATCCCCATTTGTAGAGTAACCAAACGTACTTTATTCACTAGAAGAAACACAATGATTTCAGCCATTGTTTGATAACAGATTTCGTAACCATTACTCGTCAAATCACTACAGTATTGCATTATTGAAAAGTTTTCTTCTAAACAGATAGGGTAAACTGTTTAGTTTACATAGCAATTAAAATTGACACACTTACGGGAGGTATAAACTGACAGACAGTATTTTCTGCACAAAACAGATTTGTGCCCATTGAGTTACAACATACATTAACTTTAAGACCAAATTAAACTTTAATTGAAACTTTTACCAAGTTTACTAGCTTCCTCTTACGTCCAAAGCTACATGAAGTTTTATGTACATACCGTGTTTTGATGCCTGTTCCATGATTTTAATCAAAGCTTGAATAAGATCATCATTATAATGCTCTGATTGCTAAACATAAATTCGTACAAATTTTAACGATAGGCACAAAATTCTCTCACAGATTTTTATTAAATTTGCTTTGTATGAGATGTTTGCAAACCCAAAAATCTTTTTTATAAAAATATCTCAAAAAGTATGTAAACAGCGCTATTTCTTAAATACGTTGTGTTCCCTTCCTCTAATAAGGAGCTTTAGCAGTGACTACGAGTACGATTACAAGTACAGGGTTCGTCATTTTTGCGCAAAGCTCGGCGCTTTTCCCTACGCCATCTGACAAAACTCGTAGTCGTTGGGTTTTCGTGTACGAGATTTACCAACAAACTCGTACTTGAAAGCTCGATGACTACGAGTTTTGGCTGATGGCATAAGCAAACAACGCGCGAGAATGGCGAATCTCGTACTTCTAGTCACTGCTAAAGCTCCCTAATGTTATGAGCAGAATCTTTATCCCTTATCCTCAATGTTTTTACTTCATATAGAGATAATGTACTATATAAGGACTCACCTGACTGGGAAACAGGCCGAAGGATCTCAAGAGATCTGGATCAACACCTGAATAAAACGACGACATATGTTCTTTCAAACAACTGTCTATAACCATGGTTAAACAAGGGGGGGGGGGTCTGTGCGCTTGGAATATCAAGAAAACAAGACGTCAGTTTTCCTTGCGACACGATTTCGATAAACTATTGTGAATTGTATTACCATACCTGGGTTTTTGATAAGAGAGTGAAACAGACACAGTGTAAACAATGCTTCGCGGTCGTCACGTGAACAATCCAGAGATTTGATTAAAGTTTCAACGTAAGTCCTTTAATAAAACAACGTTGTGCATGAGGATTTTCATCAATTTTTTAGGGTATTGGCAAAAGAGTTTGCTTTTCCCAAAAAACTCAACACTACAAAAACGATTCTGTTATGCTATCATTTAATTTCATAACCCAAGAATACTCAACACAAAGATGCAATACCTGTCTGGTTGAAAATCCACAGGCCTCACAAGAAAGCTCTAAAAAAAACACGATAATAGTGAGAGTTATTATACGGTAGGATTTCGCCTTCGTACAATAGTTTGTAAGGATTATCTTGTATTTATGAGATGTGTTTTTACGCACGTTAAGTATTAATTTCAAAAAATCAAACGACACTTGTTGAAACACAATAAAAATTTGTATGTAGTTTTAGATGGTGTTTCCATTTCCTAAAATCGAAATCAAATTTTCTTTCTAATAGTGCACTAGGAATAGTGTGATCGTATTTCGCCAAGAATACAATAAGAAATATTGAGAAGTAACATCGACAGACATAGTTTGAAAGATATGAAAAAACTTACTTTTGCCAGTGGTGGTGCTACATCTGAGACTTTCACTCTGTTGGGAATGGCTGACTCCTCCGTCGTAAAACCTTCAAAGAAGCAAAAAAAAATCACTGATGCAATAATACACTGGATTTAGCAACCGGTGCATGTCAAAGAGAACGGAGCCAGCGTGAACTCTCCGAAACCTAATTGGAAAGAATTAATCCATCAGGTGAACCCCAGGAAAGATCTTTCTGAGTAATCACGTATTTAAATGGCTTGGGTTTCAGTATTAAACAGGTTTTAAATCAATCTTAATGTGGTGAGCTGTCTTAAAATGTAAACTGCCCGTGCGCTTATATTTTCTCGTCTGTTCTGGGTTCTTAGAAGTTCAATAAGCTTTGGTTTCAATTTTGATATCCAGTGTACTGTTAGACCAGTGGCGCAAATTCGTCGTGGTTCGTAACTGAACTATATACGCTGAACGCAACATTGGTAAGAATTTGACTGGAGTGTTTATTACAAACACAATTCTGACCATTAAAAGCAGGTCGAATTATACTTAAGTGAAAACGACTAGGAGTTCTCTGTGACCAGAGAATTTGGGCGAATATACAAAATATTTAAGCAATCTTTGTATTTTTCTGCTGTATAACAGAACAAACCTTTAACTTCGTTCGATGCTTCATTGCTGCTATTTATCATTAAGCCATCACCATCGTCATCATCGCCGGTCACCTGGCCGAGCGGTGTATCACCCATGGATACTTCACGAGAGTCACTTAAATTTCCTAAAATAATGATTGCGAAAAATTTTAACCAATTTGTATTTACAGACACCCATTTAATATCCGTCACAGTAAGTATAATCCCAACTTTACCTTTCGGCGACCCACGACCGTTCACGTCATTTTCAGATGGGCTGGCGACACTTTCGGAAACGGTGACGTCATTTTTATTACCTTCTTCCCGTCGTGCTCTTTGTCTCGCTTCGTCAGGACGCCATTTTTTCTCACTATTTCCACCTATTGTAAAATGCATGAAAACCATTCTTTTTTTAATAGCTGGCAACACTCACGAGAAAATTGTCTAAAGAGAAAAACTGTCTTAAATTAATGAGAGAGAGACGGAGTTCTGGGATTCTTAATCCTGATTAACAGGAATCTCCCTCTGACGGGTCAAATTGTCTGGAATTACACAGAACAATGGATTACCAAGGAAGACTGTGGATTCTTAACTAAAAGTTATCTCCAAGTTTTCTCCCACTGAAAAGTGAAATTGTCTTCGTTTTCGACCAATCAGTAATTTTTTTAAATTCCTAGTTACCAATCAGAATGCAGGTAAATATTAACTACTCCGGTAAAAAGGTACATGATTTTCCATTTTACATGAAGTACTAAAAATTTATGCATTCTGATTGGCTTAGCCCGAAAATGTAAACAAACGCTCGATTAGTTTAAACCGAAATTCCTCCTTGTTTACAGGCACTTAATTGGAAACATATAGCGTTGCATTCAGTCACTGTATAGAGGTCATAGGGGGGTGGCTACGTAGGTTAAATCGGACGTACCTTTTGTGTAAAATTTGGAATTTGCGACATGTCTTGATCGTTGTCTCGCAAGTTCATTCAATCTATTTGTAATTGTGTAACCTTCGCTGTTAATACCACAAGCCAACAACGCTTGCTCCAAACTTGACTCGGGAGCAGCGAAAACGCGTAGACCAGTTGAAACACCACTCTATGTCAAGAAAGAACACATATTGTCATGTTCTGCTTCATATAACTAAAGGCCCTGTTACACCGTGCAATATTTCTTCCAACTTGCAATGCAATTCTGCTTTTAACCGATGAGTTTTTAGTGACGAGTCTTCAAAATGTAAGTGTAAAAACGTCCATAGACGGTATAACCAAAATTGTCTCGTTGTAACCAAATTTGTTTTGCAAGTTGAAACAAACAATTGTATTGCAAGTTACGTGAAAAATTGCACAGTGTAACAGGGCCTTAAAACAGAAAAAAAAGCAAAATTCTTCCACAGCTGTTATGGCTTGAGAAGGTCCGCCAGCAAATTTCTTTCACATCACAGGACGTTTTTAAAGAGCAGATCGAGAGACGTCACGAATGAATGTAAAAATTACTTTTACTTTCTCGTTCACACAAAGGCCCTGTTACACTGTGCAATTTCTCATGCAACTTACAACAAATTCCACTTCAAGCGTTGCAAGAGCGTTTTGAAAACAGGAGCCTGCGATACATGTGATCTAACATTGCACAATACTTCAAGTAAACCTAATTTCGCCGAAGTTATTTGTGTATGGTTCCTGCCGCTATGAAAAAATAAATCATACAGGTCTGACATCTGTTTTGGATTAATGTTATCCCATACCTTGCGCGCACTGAGTGGTGAATGACTTGGTGAACTGTCCATATTTATTTCTTCTCCTTGTAGGATAACATCAGTCAGGGTAGACACCAGTGGAGGGTGCTTGATTATGAGAAGTATCTGGATGGAAAAAAAGAAATATCATCACATCCCGAAATTGGGACAATGGGAGTAAACAGTCGCTAACAAAGCAAGAATAACAAGCAGAACTCAAGGGGCAAAGACGTTGGAAGTATTTTGAACTGAGAAATATATGTACTTCCAATGTCCTTCGATTAAGATCTAAGCCTTTTTTGTATAAAATCATTGAAAACTCACTTGTGAAAGAAGGTAAAGAGCGAAGAGTTTGCCAACTTGTGGTTTACATTGCTAAAAAGAAAGTCATTTTCATTATAGTTGCAATCATAATGATGCCATCATGGCAGCCTTGGGACGAGAAGCACTGAAATTTCAAACTATCGTAATACCGACACACGGATTTGACTATTCGCTTTTTCGGGAGGACTCCCGAGAAAATCCACTTATGCAATAGACCTTTTGCATTATAGACTTATAGATTTTAACTATGCATGAAAATGCAATCAAATTACCACTGCTGAAGGAAAAGAGCGTGCAAAAATTAGTAGAAATACCAAATTTGGTTGCGAAAATGTTGTAAAATACGGAAAATACAGCCTTGCAAAGTTTGCAAATTTGTTTTTAGGAGAAACGGAAATTGTTATCATTTTTGGCCTGAATGTGCATGGTAAGAATTTCCGTGCGTAGTAAAAAAGGAAAAATTTTGGGAGGCCGTATTTTCCGTATTTTACAACATTTCACAACGAAATTGTGTATTTCTACCAATTTTAGCCCGCTCTTTACAGCAGTGGTATAATTTAATTGCATTTTCATGCATAGATAAAAAGTAGTCTATAATGCAACTATTGACCGATTACATGTACGACACGTGATGTCAATATGACGATCAGAGAAGGTAAAGAGTGGGTAGAGCAGAAAATATTGCAATTGTCTTTTTCTAGTCCGAGGGAAGAGGGTGGCATGCGCGTTTTTAGTGGTTCAAAAAAGTCTGAGTATAGGATACAAACCAGTGGGGCATCTTCATCAGCCACCAGTGAATATAGGTAGAGAGGGATGATCAATCTATCCAGTAGATATTCGGTCAGTATTTCGTTCAGTTCCAAAATATTCAAACACAAGATATCGTTGATGTAATGGAGGTGGTCCAGATGGTCAGCCACAAGATCTTTCAATCGTCCGCAGTGCAAATGGCTGCAAAAAATGTTTGTTTTTAAGAGATGTCTACCTTTCATTTCGTTGCATGGCTGAAACAAGGTTTCAATCAAAATCGTTTTAGACCAATCAGCAAGTTTGGTTATATTTTCAGTAACCCAATCGGAATGCAGAAATTTTGACTACTTTTTGACCGGTCTCTGTTTAGGTAGCTTGAGCACTAATAAAATTGGGCACGGGTATTCATTTTTGTCGTGCTATATATGCTGATAAATTGAGTGTTGTATAAACGGGGCTAAATATCCACGCGTTTTTTCCCCTAGATTATACAATTATACAGTAAAACTGGTTCAAAACTTGTTCAAAACTCGGTTAGCGCTAACCCTGAGTTAAATTTCAATTGAGTGTTTTAGTTTATATGATTCTGAAACCCTGTTTGTTTTAAAACGTTAGAACATATGACTTCTATCCGTCCAGAAAATATTTATGAAAAAAGATATTCAACTTTGTAAACAAGGGATTAAAAATATTAACGTAAAGATTTGCTTTAACCCAGAGTTAAGCTAACCGGCTTTTAAACAACCGGCCCCGGGGGGTTAACCGTTTGTGCAGTATAATACAAACATACTCAGACTCTTTCACAGAGCATCTGTCTAATTCCATCGCATGATTACCAATGTACCAGATTAGGTTGCAAAAATACGCATCTGCCGTTTTGTTCACAATGAAATTTAGCATCGCTTTGTCGCTCACTGAAAAGACAAACAAAAAGAAGCGCTGTCTTTCAAGATTCAGAGAACGCCAGACATCATTCCAGTGGTATAAAGATTTCAGTGATAATATAACTCGAAAGACGTTCAATGTTAGTTAATATTATTATTCTAGAGTAACCAAGGAGCAGCGTGGCAGCGTCTTTAAACAACTTAGCATCAAATGTGTTATAACAACTGCCTAAATAGACAAAACACTTCTCGACGTTTCGACCTGAGGGCCTTCGTCAGGAGAGTTAGTATGTGATAATCACACTAACTCTCTATGTGACTCACTAACTCACTAACTAACCCTATGTGATAATCACACTAACTCTCCCTGACGAAGGCCCTCGGGTCGAAACGTCGAGAAGTGTTTTGTCTATTTAGGCAGTTGTTATACCACATTTGATGCTAAGTTATTACTCCAGTCGTATAAAGAGTTCTGTGATAATATACCTCACAAAACGCCGATCTCATTCCCCGAGCCCAAGATTCCTAGCTTCCGGGTTGTAACGGTTTTTTGTATTTTAAAATTGAAACAGCGTAAACGACCAATCAGAATAATTTCTGATTTCGATTATCCCAGAGCCTTTGTTTTCTCACCAGAGGAATCGCGGGCACGGGGAACGAGATTGACACACGTTCAATGTTAATGTTAATATTCCAGTGGTTTAAAGGGTTCAGTGTTTACATACCTCGAAAGACGTTCAATGTCAATGTCCTAACGGCAATGCGAACCATGTTCTCTTTGTGGTCAAAAAACTTTAATGCTTCGGTATAAAGCGCGAAATCGCTCTTTCTCTAAACAGAAGAGATTGGTATCCATAATTTAGGCCTTTTGACGAAAGCCGTTGGGGCAATTTGTACCCAGGGTTTTTTCCTTGTCACGGTCAAGACCGCAATAGCACAGAATACCTATCAGAAGAATAACTCTATACTATGTTTTCGTAACTGCGATTCGTCACGATTCGTCACTTAGCAAGTGCATTATATTGGGGCAATCACCCCCCTGCCAATATTAACTAGGGATCCAAGGATAGTGCAAAGTTTTCATGCCCTGTAATACCTAAGCAACACGTTTTCCCAACATAAACATTTTGACTTATGCCAGTAAAAATATAATGAACTAGGTTAAACAATAATCAAAAGGAAATTACTCAAAGTACTCAAGTTACGTTAGTCGCAAATACTGTCACTATTAAATTATAATTTTAGTTGCCCATATAAACCGGGCGCGATTTTCTCAGTTTAGTCTCTTTTCTTCGTCAAACAACTGTGACTACATTCACTACATTTATATGATGGCAACAATTTACTGTCATTTCATAAGAATAGCAAAAATAGTTGCGTTGTAAAAAATGTAAATAAACCGCGCTGCATATTATGTCTATGATGTGGATACTTCGACGCGTAAATCGATACAAAACAATATACTTATAATCAATACTGTATACCGCCAAAATGATTTGATTACTGCACAAAATGCCCGTTTTGTATAGTATCATTTATGTACTGTATGCAGAATACCAGGTATCGACTTGCTATCGACATAATATATATTCGTCGTAAGAGATTAGAGATCTATCAATACATAAACAACACAGCGTCGTTTCTTCCTAACCTCTTATGTAGCTCTATTTATGGAATAAACCTTCCAAATTATATTTGTGTCGAATTGAATGCTCGTAATTCATAACATAAGTTCATAAATTGCGTAGATTCTCAAAGAATTGCACGATTCTTACGCCCGGAATGTTTTGAAGCAATGGTCGTCGCTCCTCGTTTCTTTACATCGTGAATAATGTTGAAGGCTCGACGGCACATGCGCAGTTGCGACGTATAGGAAAAAAATCGGGTGTTCCGGGGGCAAATCTGCGCAAATCCCTTTGAAACAAAACCCAAACCGCGGAAAAGCAATGCTTCAAAATTTACAGTAACGGTCAAAATTCCTCAATATTTTGGTGAACTTAGCAAAAGGGATGTAGAGAATTAATAAATAAAGCAAGTTAAACTGATTTAAAAACTTTAAATTACTGATCATATACAAAAAGGTAGTATACGCATAAATCAATCTACCCCCCGTAAAGTTTACACTATGACTGACTGTCTGACTGACTGACTGTCTGACTGACTGACTTACTGACTCGTTTGAATTTTCGCCACTCATCACAATACTGCAAAGTTTCTCAAACTTTGCACTAAAAATGGGGTCATTTTAGACATTCGCAGGGGGGTGATTGCCTTAATTTAATGCACTTGCTAAGTGACGAATCATGACGAATCACACTTACGAAAAAAGCACAGGAGTTCTACTTCTGATAGGTATTCTGTGGCAATAGGTGAGCGAGGGGAAAGGCTTGTTTATTATCTATTTGCAAATACCTCATTGAAGAAGAAGTTAATGACGTGAAGGTTGAGCTTTAGGGAGAGAGTCTTCAGGAAGGAAATGTAATATGCCAGGATCTAGAAAGAATGAGAAAAATTGATTTAGATCGTACGTATTGATAGAGAAAAGAAAAAAGCGACAGCGCTTAAGAATAATACCTCTTCATTTGTGAAGTCAAATTTGTGAATGATGATTGAGTTGACGTGATTATTGGATAATAAGTAATCTGAAAAATATTACGTTGTAATACAAGAAATGAGTGAGCGATTCAAACCAATGGTGCTGAGTTTGAAAAGAAAGTTAATCCAACTTCATCACGCTATTGTGAGTAAAATACTTGATTAACAAGCCGCCAAAAGCGCGATTTTTTGAAACCAGAAACCAGAGTTGATATCTATTTTTACTTGGTCTGAAAAATGGTCGAGTTGAGTGGCGAAAAAACTACGGATAATTGATGTACAATTAGTGATAACTACGGATAATTAATGATAACTACGGATGATTAATGATAATTACGGATAATTTATGCTAACTACGGATAATCAGTGATAATTACGGATAGTGATGATTGAGAAAATCTTCACTTTAGGAATACTAAGGTATATATTACGCTCGTTGATCAAATAATTCACGCAACATAACATGCTTTTAAAATCATTTATGCATAATGTAGCATTATGATTCGATAATTTTTCTCTACATGAGAAGAACTTACAAAGCGATGTTTCATGACGGATATTTTCAAAGAGGATGTTCAATGTCTGCAAGAGCTGGACACAAACATAGGCTCCGGGATTCTGATTTAGGATTTTCAGGAAGAAGAAAAGCATGTTTTTCTCCAAGAAGAAACTAGAAATAAAGAATACAAAATATAATCAATAAAATCTCGCTAAGTTGAGAATTTGCCTGACAGCTATCGAAATGAAAAACAAACGTTTTTGTGAAGGACAAAAGATTTTAAAGCCAGCTTTCCACAAGGCGGAATTTTTCGCTCAATTCACTTCACTTCACCGGTCACAATTTTCGATCGAAAAATTCCGCCTAGTGGAAAACCGGCTTAAGGCCCGCCCGTTTTAAACATCGAACTTTTCGTGTGCCAAATCGAATGCGAATGAACTAATCGAAAGACTTTAGCTGATTAATATCAGGTTCGGCACATGAACGGGCCTAAGATGCACCAAATCTACGACTCCGACGTGAAGTGAAAACAGGCACTAGTATTAAGAACCAGGTTTTAACTTTCTTTCCATATGGTCTGACTTTGTTTACTAAAACTGTTGAAATAACGGCAATATGACTTCACGTCTGCGTCGTAGATTTGGTGCATCTTAAACTCACTAATATTGACACAGACAAATATTTGAACCAGGCCTAATACGGTCTGTACTGTTTTGCAAAATTCTGATCTGAGCAGGCAGATGCTCATTCTAGGTGGTATCCACTGACAAATGCGAGGATAATTTAGATACAATTGAAAAATTGAGGGATTTAATTTCCTTCCAGAAACGTTGTACATCTTCAGCGGCGCTATCACTTCTACAGAAATTTCCTTAGAGAAGTTTGAATCTATCGAGAGATCGAGGGAGGAATATTTAATACAATCTTTTCAAATGCTCGTTGTCTATAGGCCTATTCAAGGCATCTTTCCCCGCAGTAAAAAGTATGCATATTTACATTGTGAGAACACTGGATATCATCACATCAATAGTTAAAGCAATGAAGGTCAACAAGAGAAAGGGAAATATACAGCAAGGCCAACAGGAGAGGGGTAGGGAGGCAGTGATGGGAAAATGCCCAGGGGATCTCAGAGTGTGCTCTAAAGGGGCCAAAATGTAAGAAAGAAATACTCTAAGCGAAACATTGCCATTGCTCTGTAATCACACAGATTAGCAACAAAATATGGCAACAGAGGGATCTTAGAGGGGGGATGTCACAACAGTCAGATGATAAAAAATTGAGAGAGACTTACTCAAAAACTGTGCTGTCATTTTGATCACCCCAGATGAGTATCTCTGCAATTGAACGAAATGTCTCAACCAGCAAGGAACGATTCTGATCTGTGACGACAGCATTTTTCATAAGAATATAGTGGTGATATCTAGCAAAAGTAATTATAATTCATGTGATTAGGACATCTTACAGTCTATGAGTGCATTATGCATTTTCTGCACAAAGGAATGTATCATTGTCTAAATGTTTTCAATGTCACAAAACCAATCAAAAGTTGCAGAAATAGTTGAATTTGGGAACCACTGAGCATTTTGATAAAATTTTACAGCAATAGAAAATCTGTTACATTTTAAATGTGAACTGCACCGAGTCCAATGAAGGCCCTGGTTAACAGACTGAAAGTCCTGCATATAAAAAATACGCATGGTGTTTCTACAAATCCATAATTTAGCTATGAATTGTATTGCATCTATCTAAAAATGTTTGAGTGAACAAATACTTGTGGATGAAATTAAGGGAAATGATTTTAACATGAAATTTGACTTTCATCGATGGCTGATCAGAGCTGAACTACCTGTATGAGAGTATACTAAAATAGACTGATAATGGCCCGGGTTCATATCGGAACAAAGACTCTGTACGGTGTTTCTACAAATTGATAATTTAAATTCTGAATTCACCATGCAAAATTTCAAGATTATTAATCCATAAGTTGTAACACATGTCATATGATGCTTGTCCTCTGAAAATGACCTAGAATATGACCTCTGGCTAATAATTTGTCACTCAAAAAATGACCTGTTGTTAGGATAAAGATTAGGGTATATGATCTGCAAGTTAAGAAACTTTCAGGCCAGAAATTTATATTTTTCCTGCACATGATACAAGTATGTGCAATTATTTTGAACATCCCAAGGAAATATTCCCATTTTCACTCAATCTAATATGCTCTTTCTAGCTCTGGTGTTGAATTTCATGTTTGTACAATCTACAGCGTACATAGCTGCAAATGAACATCGCAAACTCGACAGAATTATCGCAATGTAATATTTAAAAAAAATTTGAGAACACAATAGCATGATTAGCGTCTAGTTAGCCGTGTAGAAGTATTATTATCACATTCTACCAACAATATATTCTTATCATTAGTCACGTAGTAAATATTATTCAGAGAATAGTTGACGTTTGTCGCGATAAATCTAATGTCCTAATCTAATTTTACCCTCGACATAAATGTGCAATATAGAATCTGAACCATTCAAACGTACATTCGTTTGGGGGGAAAATATCAACAAACATACTCATTATTTTACTCATCTTAAAACTTTTAAACAACATGACGTGTCATGAGAGCATAATCTTGTGACCATTGACAACACGAATATATTACAACACAACGATAACACAGGCTATATTCACTTTACCTCAATTGCTCCAAGGAGTGGGCTTTTTTTGGCTTCCAAATAACTTCGGTCCACCAGTTTCTCTGTCTTTGAAACATGATGAAACTAACCGAGGATGCTGAGATATTGTTATCCTGTATAATCTAGTTTTCGCGGCATCATTGCGTATTGAATAAACTATGTTGAAATTTGACCTCGTAGGAAGCCATCTTGAAATCGTACGATTCCTCAGGAGATGACGTCACCAAAACGTCACACATTCATGACAGTACTTCATGTTGTATGGACACAATGTAGATCACGGAATGATCACGAGACCGCACGCGCGACACCGAAGATTCTTATTGGGTTTTAAAAATAATTTAAGGGTCTTTTGCAGAAAAGGACATAAGACTAGCTTACTGACTGTAAAATTTCTTAACATCCGCGCATGTATGAAAATGAATATTCCCTGGGCTAAATAACAGAATATACACTCTCATGCAAGCGGGCGACACTGATCTGCCTTCCATGACCTCCTGGAGATCAAACGCGGCTTTAAATCGACTCTAATGGACTCCAAATCTCCCCTACGCTTTGGTATAACTTCAGCAACTGGCAAAAAAAGTTTCGATACAGCAATTTCTGCTCTTGTGAAAGACTATTAATTAATTGATGTTCGACGCTCGATCCCACGCTATGAATCTATGAAGTTAAAAGCGCTCTTTTTGATTAATTTGGAGGCAAAATAAGGCATTTCGCGTACGATTTCCACGTTCAGTTCATTTTCAACTCGTAATCCCATCTTCAGAATATACCAGTGTAATCCTAGTCTAAAGCCTGGTTTACACTTGTCCTAAAAACGGGGATTCTTTTTGTTTGAATTCACGAGTGCACAAAATGCTTTGTCTATCGGGAAATAATACAATAGATCCCCGATTCTTAGGACCTAGTGTGAATCCGGCTAAAAACTGGTTCCCACTTGTCCTTAGAATCGCGGATGCCTTTCGTTTGAGTCACTAGTGCGCAAAATCCTTTGTCTATTGGAAAAGATTAGAATACGATAGATCATAGATCCCTGATTTAAGGGATCTATTGACAAACGTCAGCATGAAAACAACATCTATTACCAGAATTCACAATTAACACTCAGCAAAAGCAAAAATCTGCCCGAAAATTTGTTGCCAATAAACACACCTAAGGCTGGTTCACGCTTGTCGTAGGAATCTGGAGTTACTGGAGTCTACAGTTCCCTGAAGTTACTGCATTAAATTTTAAGATTGCCACAGTATACGAATGTATTTTATCCGAGTGAATAATATTTTATCTCGTAAAATAGGATAAAATGGCGGCGAGTTGTTTTTGTTAAAATGACAAATGAAAAAATGAGTTATTTTAACCTACGCAAATTCAAGTTATTATAATTATTCATGTTTTTCAAAACCAAAATGTTAGCATAGTGGGACAAATCGTCGGGGTTGCATGGTGCTGCTGAACGTTTCAAAAGTCTGCTGAAAGGTGTACTCGCAATCCAGTATTTCAAAATCAGACACTTCGATCACAAGATGCCCAAACTTGTGCAAACTTGTCAGGAATCTGTTTCACCAATACTTCTCTTTTCTCCGAAATCTTTGGGTATTTTTCAAAACCACCGTCTTTCACATGTCCTCTAAAACGACATGCTTGACCAGTAGGGTTCAGGTTGTTTTGAAGGTGAGCTTTATTCGTTGCCTTTTTTTGGTTAATTTGTTTACATCGCATGGGTTTGTTCCCTGCCTGGGCATTATAAATTCATCACACCCGGGGATCCGAGGGTCATACATGAAGTGCCAGCCCAGATACAACTGCACACAAATGCCATAAAAGTGCTGACAGGAATAGTAGTAATAGTCATTTAATAACCATCCACCAATAAGATTCTTGAACTAACTTATTTTTCGGGTATAGGTAGTATTGGATTTTCTGCTTATTCGTGATCGAAGTCTAGGAAATCAAAGTTTTGCAAATCAAACTCGGAATGGCCTTCATCGGAAGAAGAAGGTCCAGTGGAGGAACCAGGGGTGGATCCAGCACTAGTGCACTAATTTGCATGACACAAGAAAACTGCTAAAAATAACCACTTTGTTTTGTAATGCAAATTTGTGCACTAGTGCTGGATCCACCCCTGGGAGGAACCAACCTCCTCGTCTTCACATTCGCCCACTCCATTTCTGCAATTATTTTCCTTAATAGTTTTCTCTTTGATAGCGATACATAAATGCACAATTATTGTGAACCAGTGATTCGATTTTGAAACTTGATAAACACCAATTTCTGAAAAAGCAGCCTAAACCTGGTTTGAAATCATGAATGAGAGGGAGATGTATCACATCTCCTAAAGTGTAGTTGTTTTTTTTTAGATCGCAGATGCACTACTTAATTAAAAGGGCAAAAAAGATTTTAGAGGACTGAACACTGAGCAATATCAGTTATGGATAATATGCATGAAGTCTAAATATTCGTTGACCTTACGAACTATCATAATATTCTTCTGTGAAGACGACCTCACTAATAAATATCAATTGCTCAGCAAAAATCTTCCCCTTTTTCAAAATATGACGTTGCCAACATAGGATTTACGTCAATCTTATCAGTATTAGGTTATAAATAATATGTGGTGCGTCGGCGGAAACCGCGTGAATCCCTGACTAATCAGTGTTATTAAGAATGCAAATTCAGTTTGAAATTTCTTTGTAAATGTTGCGTGTACCGAGAATTACCAGACTGGCTACGAAATTGAAAATATGGCAGTTATTGCTTTGAAATGTTTAAGAATTATAAGTTCTACAACAACGGTAACGAGAAGTAAACATTTCGGGCGTAATTTAACATTATGTTAATTTACGTACAGATTTACTTGAGAGTAGTAAAGTTTAACAAACATTATTATTAGCAGCATTACTGCAGCGCTATCTGCACAACCCCATGCATGGTTCTCATTCCTGGAGGGATGGAGAGACACGCCATCCAAAGTCCCTGGAATGAAAGGGACGAATACCTAAAATTATTATAGCATTGAATATGGAAAAAATACATTTATATGAACAAATATGTCCAGATGACCTGATGAAAAGTTATAGATATTAATCATTAATTTTAATTAATATTTATGAAATATACTATTTCATGATAATTAAGAAACATTGGATAACATAGAGAATGAAAAGGAATAAAAAGAAAAGACTTTATCGCATTACATTGCTTGAAAAAATTCATGCTACGCGGCACAGTTTGCTAATACTCAAGAAACTGATGACATAATTGAAAATATCCGCATATTTTCGGTCGAATGACGTTAGGTCTTCGCAACATGATGATGACAACATTATTTTAACTGTATTTTAAGGACAGAATTGGCAAAACACACAGAGTCGTGTATTTCTGAGTTAACCAGGATTCTCTAAGCAGAATGTAGTTAAGGAGTTTTATACAACAGCCCAAGCGTTTTGAAAACTCAGAATTTCATAATAGTATGGAAATGTTTCACGTCAGAACCAATGTTTTATTATACAAGAGAATGATTTGGTGTTTTTTCGAGAATGAATGAAATGCCAGAAATTGATATATCAAATACAAAAATATGAAATACATTTAATTCCAACCGTTTTGAATTATCATGAGGAATTAACTTCGTTAGATAGTATTTTATACAAGGTTGACATGTGTGACTGGTAAAAATGGTATCCTAAACCCCAATCCTAATCCCTAAAACTGACCCAAAACTAATCAGGCTCTAATACTGCCATTTATTAACTAGATTTAGGGATAGTGTCAAAGTAAGATTTGGGTTCGTGCCAACCGGGCATGTATTCCAGCTTTTCGGCTCAGGCTAAAACATTTTTCAAATATTCTTCTCATTTTGGCTTTGATTAATGCTTGTTTTAAATCAACTGTATATTGGTGACGTTATTTCGTTGAATCGAGAATGTTAGCAAGAAATACAGAGATTATTACTATAGTCAAACATTTCATTAAAATTTCATTTAACCTGATATTATTTAAATTAGAATATATTGACATAATAAATAATAATAATATACCTATATACACTAAGTCTAAGACATTCAGTATATTTCATCGTTCATTCATTGTCCGATTCATTGATTTTGGATTCGCTCTAACCAAGCGAGGTAACTCTCGTTCTAATTATGCTAATTTGCTCTAATTATACTAACTTGTTCTATATTTCGCTAATGAATAGTCCAAATTTTGAGCAAGATATTATATTGAGAAGGGATATTTCCTCATAAACGATTCGATGGAGTTTGGCAATGGTAGCTGTGATTGTTCCTCCTTGCTTATTGTTTTGTTCACCACACGACGACATAAATGTTGTAACGCGGGAACTTTATTAAACAAAGGCTTTTCTAGTTTAATTTCGTCTTCCCCAACTTCTGTTTTTGCTAATACTTTGCGTTTATCTTCTTTGTTCTGACTGACAGCTACGTAGTAGCATATTAACTTCACGACACAGTCGAACTTTGGTACTTCGTTAATTCTTGTTTTGAAGAAATCCAACATGAATTTCCCGTAACAAAATAGCACCCTAATGTTAAGAATATTTCTCGGTAGCCTCACAGAGAGGGAAAAATAGTAGCGAGAATCTGAACTATCACGTAATAGAAATGTTCCAACGTCAGCATTTTCTAAAACCGTAATCGCCTCGGTTTTTGTAATTCGACCCCAATACCATCCTGTGTCCTGCAGACGATCCATAGAGACCTGAAATAGGTTGCTTATACATTCATGGCTTGGCAATCTTGAATAATACACTTCTTTCGATTCATTTCTTCTGCGGTCTGAAAGATAATTTAAAAATGAATAAGACGCAAGGATTTATTTAACCTGTACTTAATTTCCTAATTATTGTTGATTAGTTATTAGTTATGGAATGGACATCCTCAAAGGGACATCCCGTTGAGATATGAATGTATACATTGCACGTATTTCACTCTTCACTTCACTGCTGAAGAATGAAGCGACTTCGTGTGTGAAAGCGTCACTTTCTCAAACTAGTTTCGGTTAAAAACAGTCACGTTTTATATCCAATGTGAAAGTAAGAGACGTGGAAACTCCCGCACGTTATCGAAACTTCCTGAACTTCGACATTTTTTGTATCTTTCGAATTGTAGTAGGAAAGCATCTAAACACAATTCTGTTCTAAAAACCAGCTTTTGTAACGGCTATTATAATATCTCTGTGTCAATCCCGTGATATATAGTATGATGTGATAATAGGACATTAGTATTGCGTTGCTGATATTGAGAACGGCTGCATTAAACTTGCCTTCTCCGTATTCCGTGTCGGAAAACTGCGGTAGGTTCTCTCGTGGTGGTTCTTTGAATCTACCCAAACGTTTGTTCATAACATATACCATTTTAACACTTTACTTGAAGCCTCAAATTTCCTGGCTATGCCTTAGCCCGCTAGACGTGTTTATTAACACGGAATATGAAAATGACAGCGCTATATATTAAGTATTGTGATATTTCCACGAAATGCGATGTTAATTGTTTTTGTTCCTGGTATAACAACTCACGCGTGGATTGTTGCCATAGAAACTCTGAGACGGTTATTCGCGTGCGCAGTCGGCTTCTATGTAAAAGAATCTTTTATCTTCAGTTAACTGAAGCTATAAATACGTATATACGGCATTTTTAAAGACAAAGTTTCATCCTACGGTAGTTTGGGTTTTAATTTCCTTGAATACGACAAAATATTCAGTAAATAACTGAAACCACAATCATATACAAATTCTGCAAAATAATCACAGGGCGAAGGTCATGTTACGTAAATCGAAAGAGAAAATTACGTCATAAGATACACGTTTACAACTTCCTTTCTTTTATAGCGTAAATTATTTATATACTTTTCAGTTCTTGAACATTCTTATCCCAGCCTACAACGTAAATTCTTCGCAGGAGAACATTCTAACGTCAAAATATTTTCGATTTCTGGAATTCTCGATGTAATACTTGGTAATCGACATTGCTCAACACGCTGTGACCAGCTGTCGTGGGTTTTCCCAGAACAAAACAATGATTGGTCAATGGGAAATTTGAAACTGAATGTTCAGTTCACTGCAGGAAAATGCATGGTGAGATCTGTTCTTCTTAGAACATGAAGCATCGCGTTTCACTTAAACTCGTGTTGTGGAATAACAGAAATCTTCACACGAAATAGCTACCGTTCAAAATACTCAGAGATATATCGCACGCGAGAATGTTAATGACTGTTTTATGCATGCTGAGGAAGTTGTTAAAGACATGCATTCAGCTCATATTCATAATAATCCCACGTAACATAAGACAGAGCATAGTGAATTCGAGATGAATTTTCGTCTCATTATTCTCTATCATAAAAGGGCTCTTTGTTCACTTTAAGATCTCTTTCACTGCATGTTTCAGTGGGGAAAATACTTCATGTCCACAATTACTGATTAAATATCTTATACTATACTAACACATATATAAACCCATCGGTATATTGATCATATGGCTACGTGTTTTATCTTGCATTTTGAATCGAATAATTATATTGTATATCTGTTGTTCTCGTGAAAATTAGCTTCATCAAAATATACAATTTTGGAGCACACACAGCGTTTTGCTACTTCACATATTTGAATCTCGCGACCAGACATACAAATTTAGTGATATTATGATTTGTCAAACATTGCTACAATATATAGCATATAGTGTAAGACGTCAGTCTGATCTTCATCGTAAGACAATAGCAAATTATTTGGCTCAAAGTTATACCTTCACTTTGAAAATATTTCTAAAATAAAATTTATTTCGACAGTCAAGCCAGTCACCTATCTCTACTATTTATTTAAACAGACCTAGAGTGTATGGGCCAGCTGTGTTGTTACATCATAAATTAATAATTGTTATACCTTGTATTTCTCCATTTTTGGTGGTTCTGTACCCGTGTAAATTTGGCAGCAGAATATTTTGAAAACCCATATTCCTGAATTCAGTATTTCAATTCCAACGCTTTACTGACGGCTTTACCGCTTTGCTGAGAATGAGTTGTCTTTCTCTGAAGACAATGACTTTATAAAATCCAATTTCGATTCAAACACGTTCATACTAAGCCCACTTCCAGGAAAGAGCGATTAGCAAAAATTCCACGTAAATGTCTATGGCCCGTGTTGTTGACCTTATGAAAAACGATATTCTTATGCGCACATGACTTCGCGAAAATATCATTGCTCAGCAAAAATCCTTCCTCTTTTACTAAAATTTAACATTGCTAACATAATGAAATGAATTCCAGAAATATTTTGCATTTACGTCAATACTATAAGTTGTATAAATAAGATGGACGTTGGCGGAAACCATGCATTTAAAGATACGAAAGCATTCCTATTATGCAAATTACTTCGCAATTTCTTTGTAAACGTTGTGTTTACCGAGAATTAACAGACTGGCTGTGAAATTGAAAATATGGCAGATATTGTATTGGTATATGTTTAAGTTCTACAACAACGGCAGAGCGAAAATACACGTTTCCCTGTGCATTCTAGCTTTCGGTCATAATTGAACATTAGGATCGAATCCAGATTTTTGATACACCAAAATGTTCATTGCCGGTAACGCAGGCCACCGCTGTCGCAATGTGACAACAATATGACACAAATTATCTTATATTTGATCAGTTATTAATAAGAAACACAGTTGTTTCTGAAGTTCTTTCAGTTCGATAATTGTATATATAGCGGAGGATTTAGCTATCAGTGGTATAGATAAATTGTTAATAGTTCCACGCAGTGAGTTTGACCTTTATTTAAACCCACATGCTTATGCAATAAATATATAGTTACAAACATAAAATGCTCGTATACTACAGCCTATATACTTAAATTGAAATATCGTAGCTTGGTAGTTTGATGCAGGACGCTTATGTCATGAGCGGTCTGGGTTGATGAATGCATTATTTTCGTTTTTTTACCGTTTATTATCGTCTAAACGTGTTTCGAAGTTCGAACAACAGCCCTCAGTTGCGTAAACGGGTAAACGATTAATTTTTAATGTTTTAATATGCTTTATTGCGTAACCAACAGGTTACTAAGTACTCACGCGACAGACCGTAATATTGCATATGAATTATGCAAATAAGACATTTTAGCTGTCTCCCTCGTTCGTATATGTTCCTGTTTCTAATGCAATAGATTATGTACATTTAATACTTTTTAAAATCCTATAACATGTTAAAGATTAAAGCAAAACAAATTATCACTTGACGAGAAAAGGATTTTTAAAGTAACTTCGGAAAAGTGCTACGTTGCAGTTAGCGACAGGTTCGTCTTCCCGGGTCGCTAACGGCTAAATTGGCTATAATGTTAACTGTGATGCCACAAGATCTTTAGTTTGTGTGGTGACGCGGGTAACAAGTATGGAATATAACACGCGGGAATGTTGCGAGAGTTAGTTAAGAAAAGCTCGCCAAACACGAGGCGAGAGATTTTGCGAGCTTTTCTTAATTCAAGCGACATTCCCAAATGATTGAATCTGGGCATCCAAACACGTGGAACCATTAAGTAATTGTTTCACAGAAGACAATTTCTCCCGTAGAAAATGTCTAGATACTTGTGTTACTGGGAATTTTGACTTTATTGAAATATTTTTATTTTTACTTCAGGGGCCGGTTGTTCAAAGCTAGGTTAGCGCTAACCTTGGGTAAAATTTTAATCACGTGTTTTAGTTTATGTGCTTCTGAAACACTGTTCGTTATTAAATTTTAGAAAATATGACTTCTATCGGTCCAGAAATATATTAATGAAAAACGATATTCAACATTGTAAACAAGCGATTAAATAAATGAACGTAAAGATTTGTTTTAACCCAGGGTTCAGCTAACTTGCTTTTGATCAACTGGCCCCAGATGGCGTCCAGATAGCACCCCCTGGAACATGCAGGGTCTACAACTGTTGTAACAATCAGGCCGTTATTGAGTGATAAACTGTAGCAGGATCTTCGTGCTGACAGATGAACAAAACGTTGCGAAACTTTTCCACTAAGGTCAGCACTTCGCTCCTCTGCAAATCCTCATAATACATTATCTCCTCCAAATGGTGATTTCCATCAAAATAATGACATAATCTGCAAGGAAATAAAAAAGATATCTGAATTTTAACGAGTATATAAATACCACCTTTAACAGAGAGTTTATGTTCACATTATATGACAAAGATAAATTTCGTTTTAGACCAATCAGAAGTTTTGTTTCCATTTTGAGTTACCCAATCAGAATGCATAAACATTGACTACTTCCGGTAAAATGGGACATTCTGATTGGCCTGGCCTGAAAAATGTAAACAAATATGCCAATTAGATTAAAACGAAATTCCTCTCTCTTCATTATATGTGCACGGTGAACCCCAGGCAAGAAAAAATTGGGCTAAGACAACACTCGATTTTTTTAACTTCCAGACACAATCAATGTTTTCACATTATAAGAGGAATATGAAATAAAGACGATGAACGAAAATTCAACTAAGAAACGTCGGCCCTTGCGTTTGCCGTTTCCCGGAATCTAAATCAGCGTATCCTCCAGGTACGTCACTTCCGTCCTTCAAAAATCGCAGCTAGTTCCCGCTCACAATACCTCGCGGTCACACGCCAAAAAGCCAACTGTAAGGTCCGAAAAGTGAAAGATCAAATTTTTATCTTATGAAATATCTCGTAAATGTTCTTAAAATCACCCACTCTATCTAAATAGCTTATTATTTCCCTGGGGACGATTATATAAGAAGGCTAGATAACGCTATCATTGGATAGCGATTTTTTCAACCGTTCTAAAAATGCTTGAAAAGCAATAAAATTTCAGCTTTGGAACCAACAATTATTAAACAGGACCCTCAATTTAGGAATACTTTGATTTAATCAACGTTATACCCAACAACGGGCTATTTTAAAGAGATTGAAAAAACCCAGTAACCGGTGGATACCGCTATCCGGCTTTCATACAACCGGCCCCCGAGGTTGATATAGGAATTTTGAAACCCCCAAATACATCACTAGTGTTGAGATGAAATTTTCTGCATCAATTCTTATATTACTTTTTAAAACGCTTTTGATCTTCTGAATCAGACATCTGTGAACGTGGACTTGGGAGATCACAGTCAGATAGTGGCAACTCAGTTCCATTTTCCAAACAATTTTCACTTGACTTCCCACTGATCCAGTAAATATACATGTGTAGCTGAAAATATAGAAAACATGAAAATACACGAAATTGCATGGTCTCTTACAAATTAAAACATAACAAGTTTATCAGTTTAGATTTCTGAAATATTACACGACAAATACCTAGGAGCCAGTTGTATAAACCTCTTCAATACATCTTGAGGGATTAAATCATGGTCAACACCCAAATACACGATTCTGATTGGCCAATAAAACCACCAAGTAGAAGTTAACTACATTTTTTTATAAATAGCCAATGGCACTCCTCGAGTGCCCCCAGTAAATATGTGCAAGGTTTTCACCACGTTCCTTACCTGAATAAGGAGGTGATGCTTTAACATCCAAATTACTCGTTGAACTTGCTCAGCCTGTTTGAGTGGATTCAAATTATAGATTAGATGTAGGGATTTCATTGCGAGGAATGATACATATAACGATGACATGAGCCCGGTTACCCGAGATTCAACGAAGCGTGAGATGATTTTGAAGTATTGAAATGAACAGATTACATTATCCTCGCAGTCGTATAATCATCACAACAAGAGCATGTGCTTGTTTGGTGTCATAAAGACTTATTTCAATACCTCAAAGTCCTCTCACGCTTCGTTGAATCTCATGTAAACAGCCCCTATAAAGCTGCCGAGTTTGGTTGCAAAAATGTTGTAAAAGATTCGAAATTTTAAACTGCAAATCTTGTATAAATTTGTATTCCGCAATTTTTGGGCTGAAAGTGGGTATTACGGCTACCATGGCTTATTTGGATAAGACTTTCCTCACAGGAGGATAGCAATGAAAAAAGCAATAAACAAACTCTTAATATATTTAACCAACACAGTTCCCTCACCCCTCGTGGTTATCGTTTTGCAGGAAATTTCCTTTAACTGTGGACCACACCTGCTGGGTATTTTTACAGCGCGTAACTCTTAAAGAGACGCATCTCACGAACATGCATGTAATTTGTCAACTCGGGTTATTCACTCAATTATGAAAAACCTGTTACCAAAACTAGTGTTCGTCTCTTATATAGCTTCGACATCCCTTCCTTTTTAAATCGTATAAACGACGAAGGGATCGTGAGCAGACATTCGAAAGGCCAAATCCTTAGTTGCTGTGATTTTCTAATTCTTTTCACGGACGCAAGGAAGTAGATACGTTATGCACGTTCAAATAAACACGTCTGTACATCAGAGAATTTTAAGTATTCTCTCGTTTTCATCAAGAAAAACAAAATAATCGCACCGAAAATTGCAGTAAAAATAGACGGCAAAAGTGAGTGTAAACGGCCCTTGATACAAGCGGGACCGAAATTAGAACGACATAATTGGGGAAGGTGAGTAAGATTTGAGGTTTGTAAGTGCAATAGCTTACAAAAGAAATCCGGCAGGCAGAACTGAATATATGAGTTTCGGTCCTGGATATACAAACCTTCTCCTGGTGTGACCAGAAGGGACTTGCTTGCTCCCCAAGTGGTGTTGGTAGGGAGAACTGAGATAACTGGTCGTGAAGGGACATGCCTGGATATTCCACAGCAAACTGTTTTGCTATCTGAGACTTTCTAAAAAAAGAACCAAATTTGGTTGTGATTCCAACGAAGTTGTCAGTCAGTGGCGTAGCCAGGGTAGAAAATTTAGGGGGGGCGACCAGTGAATGGGAAGCCACAAACTATCTGGGGGGGGTTCAGAGGCATTCTCCCCCGGGAAAATTTGGGATTTCTAAGGCTTGGAAACGCCATTCCCCGAATTCTGATACGAGCTTTTAAAAGTAATCGTAAGGTTACAAATCACAAAATTCTGTAACAATACACGTGAAAATCTCTTTAGATTTACTGATTACTCGTTGCTTACCTAACTTGATCCCCCCTCCTCATATTCCGCTGGATTTAAACATTTCATGAGAACGGTTTTAAAGACCGTCGGGGGGGGGGGCGACCGCCACCCCTTGCCCCACCTTGGCTACGCCCCTGTTGTCAGTAGGGAGTTTAAGCTTTGGGAAAGGGCGAACTTTCTTGACCGGTTTTTATTCAATTTGTTTGTTTCATTTTTTTTTCATGTGAAAATATTGGTTGATCCTGGAGTTTTAAAATTGGGGTTTGCATAGGACTGTCCTCAATGGGAAAAGCAATGACAAAAGAAAGAGACAGCCCTAAGGGCTACTTTCCAGTACGCGTTGTTTGCGCGTACGTACACGCAAGGAAAAGCTTAAAACCTTCTAAGTTGTCGTATAATCGCAGTTATAATCCCCGTGCTGGTGCTCCGGGGGTATTAATGCTGCCCGGAGATTAGGAATTACACCGGAACCCGGGAGTTTTGTCAGTTATGCGTGTGCTAGTAACGCCTGGTAATCAACAACGCTCTGATGGCTAAGACAGAAAGTTTGTATTTCATTGAGAACGTCAGCAATTAAACTGTTAAATAATATTTGAGGTTTTTTGTTTTTCTCTGAAGATTTTGCACTGTTTTAATAATTTGAAACTTCAATTTTAAACCATTACTTCGTTGCTGCCATGGCATAATGAAGCAAATATTGAACGGCCAAAGTTTAAACTAGCTTTATGATTATTTTTGTACGAAATGATAGAAACAATAGCTACCTATAATATATATACTCCATAAAATATAATATAGCCTGATTTGATAAAATATAATATACTTGAGTTTTGTGTCATTTCATAATATAAGTTTAGGTCAGGTTAGCTCAGGAGATTGTGTACTTGGTTTGAAATAGCGAGGGGTTGCTGCATGCATGTATTTTTAGCATAAGTACATGCAATCTGATTGTCTGCAACCACAGTTACAAGGTACCGGATTAGTAGTGCACCGGCTCACTTTCCATATCAGATGGGAGAGTTCGGAAGCTTTCGTCCAATTGGATAATGCTTTTCTATGCTTTTTAAAGAACGAAGCTATGCTATTGGTTGAAATGTATAAAGTTCAGCCAATGAAAATCATTCTTTGGAGGAGCCGCGACACTACCCTATCAGATCGACGTCGCAGTACAATGAAAATCACTCCACAGTCCTTAAGGCTGCTTTCAACTGTCGCGTTTTTTGAACGTATACGTAAAACACGCACGTAAAAATTTATAAATGCATATAGGGTTGGATTCTATTGACGATTTAGTGTATTTTTCTGGCATAAAATTAATTATACCATATGCCCCGAGTTCCGACTTGACCCCTAGTAAAATGCCGTTACCGACAAAATTAAACTGTATTCAAATTATTGGGTGGGGGGGCGCCCCTCATCGAACCCCCGTTATACTAACGCCACATGAAATGACAACATGAAGCCTTACAGATTATTTCTAAGCACTTACAAATGTATTGAAGCTGCCGGGGAGACTACGTAGACGTTATTTTCGACAATACGGTAGATGATCCTGGCTTTACCCCAGTAAACAAGATGAGCAGCAATTGAAAATATCTACAAAATAAAATATTGACTTTATTTTGACATAGCCTCCTCCGCAGGCATCTCTTATGTATTTATATTACGCATTTATGCTAACCGAAGCCAAATGTGAATGCCTAATTTAAATACATACGAGGTGCCTGCGGAGGAGGCTAATTTTGACATGCAAAGCTTAAAATTTGTCAACCAAAATGGGTCGAAAACCAAAAAAATGGTCTTAAGAAAACAATAAAAAAAAAACAAATTTTACACTTACGAGTGAAAGTGGGATATCTGTGTCTTGTGATAACACTTGAAAACTATAAAACATCATTAGGAAATTTACAGTCGCGGCAATAGAAGCATTCCGAAAAATATCGAGCAACTCATTTGCACAATTTTTCAGTTGGCTTACAAAATTCATCAAATTTATGAAATAACTCCTTGAAAACTCCTTATCTCCTTCCTGAACCATATTTTCACTGACCAATCAATGTTTGCCTTTATCATTGAGCAATTCTTATTGGGCATTTCACTGACCAATCAAATTTGAATTTGTCTTTTCGAGCTATTCTGATTGGTCAATGAACAGAAAGTAAGGAATTTTTTAAAAAGTTTCCCAAACTATTTCACGAACTCCGTAAAATCGAGAGAAAATTATAAGAAAGTAAAAGACTCAATATTTTTCCGGGACGTTTTTCTCCTCGCGATTGTAAACCGGTTTTTACCTTTTTGAAGGTTTTGCATTTTTGACAAATCTTATGAGATCTGGAGAGCAATCATCAGGTAGCGATGCAGAAAGAGAGACTTCGTCCACCAGCATTAAGACTGTGTGATATGGTCTGAGGAAATATGTTGATATATTGATCAATTTGCCATGTAAGTGTCACAGAGTTGCAAAAAAACTGCGGGTACGCGGGTACCACCCGCAGGAAGGTTTTCTTTGAATGAGATTTGTAAGGAAGGTTCAAAGTTGAAGACTCAATTGATCACATGCATGTACCAAAAGACCAAATATTTCTTTATGCTGGTTGCCACTTGACTCAGTGACGTAACAACATTTTGAGGAAGGTTTTCAAAACTTGAAATCCTACTGGAGAAAGCTTAAACTTTTTTTGCAACTCTGAAGTGATAAATACAAAACATTTTAAACAAACTACGTTTATCACCTCATTGCTGCTAGACAGACCTGAACATCCTCGGGCTATTAAAGAAAAAACGTAAAAATTTTCAAACCCTCTGTGATTTGTGAGATCATTTTTTTTCAGTTTGGTCACCACGGACAGAATATTGTTTAATAATTATTATTGTTTAACAATTATTATGTAGAAAATACATTTTGACAAACGTAATGAAATACCTCGACAGTTTTACGGCAATTTAAATACAACGATATTTTTTTAATGAGAAATAAATTCAAGCAAAGTTCAACATTTTCCAAGACTCCATTTGTACAGAGAGCGATCACGTTTAAAAACAGAAATATATTTTCCACCTTTTCATATTCTATGTGTATAAAGTTTACTACAAAAAAGTCTACATCACTACATGCAAAATCATCTGTATACTTAGTTGCAGAAATATTTAATACTCTCTGTTTTTAAGCGTATATTTCGAGAAAAAAGACGTCATATTGACGTGTTTTTGACAGAAACGTATGTTTGATCATTACCTTAGACAAAAAACTCGCCGCCATTTTGAAAATTAAAATCCGTTAAGAAGATTATTGCGTATAATCCGAGGTCCCTTGACCAATCAGAGGCCAGAATTTTCAATATAATCACCTTTGTATATTAATCTGCATTAAACTAGCTTTGACAAACTTGACAGCGCTCGGAAGTTGGATAACCTTTTTTAATAAAAACCTTTAATAATTTACAACATTTCTAAATTATATATACCAGTACCTTGACAATCATCTCCGAGTTGATATTATGTACTTTATGAGGAAGACAAAATCCAACCCTGACCCAATTATTGATCTCCAAATTGACAGTACCATTTTGAGAAACGCTAAAAAACATTGAATGCGGGCATTCATTAGTCATAGGGTATTCATTTGTTATATTTGTTATGGGATTAGGGAGCGGGTGTCGGGGGAGGTTAGGTGTGTAACTCTACGAGTTCCAGTTGAAACTGCGTGTGATATGGTGTGTAAATGTTTCTAAAAATGGATTAACACTATATCACACATTTCTACACAATATATGAACCTTTTTAAAAACATTTTGTGGCTTTTGAGAACTTCCCTTAAATTAACGCCACTGTATAGCCTACTCCTGAATAAAAACTACTTAGCCCGCATCCCCGCATGTCACAACACTCACTCATCCCACATCACTACAACCTATATCACCCCACCACATCACCCAAACAAACATCACCCCTCCTTACATCACCTAACCCCACATCACCCCAACCTACATCACCCCACCCTGCATCACCACACCCCACATCACCCCACCCTACATCAACCCACCCCACATCACCCCTCCCTACATCACCCAACCCAACATCACCCCACCCTACATCACCAACCCCACATCGCCCAACCCCAAATCACCCCACCCTACATCACCCCACCCAACATCACCCCACCTCACATCACCCAACCCAACATCACCCCACCCTACATCACCTCTCCCCATGCTTTAAATAAATGAAAGGCGCCTTTAGTCGCGTGGGTTTCAAGAGAGAATTTCAAGAGAGAACCAAGCAGACATACAAACCTGTCAAAGGCATCGCACAGAGCTTTTGCCAGGGTACTTTTGGGTAATATCATATGAAACGGTGACGCCTCACTTGCTAGAAAATGAAAATGAAAATAGACATTCAATCAACATTCATTTTCATTTAGGAATAGCTTAATCAGACAATGGCCTTCTGCGCTACAAATGAATTTTATATCTAAGCGATAAGAAGATGATATTCGGAAAGAGTATACTAAAATTAGTAAAATTGCCAAGTTTGGCTGTACAATGGTGTAAAATACGGAAAATATAGCCATGCGAAGTTGGCAAATTTAAGGCTCGTTAACACTAGCAATTTCTGCTGCGATTTTCCTTTTTGGACAGATGGAAACGAGCATAAATGCTCTGATGTGTTACATCATGTGTAAGAGTTCTTATTTGAAAATCCGTAACTTATTCACTCATTCGCATCTATGAAAATTTCCAAAGGAGAAAATCGCATATAAAATGGCAGCAAAAATTGCAAGTGTAAACGGGCTTTTAGAAAATAAACTGCACCTTCGGGTAGCTCAGCCACTTCATCGTGTATCGCAAGCATTGTCTGCCTTTCTGTGCTGAAATATCCACATCTGAAGGGAGTGTTTAAAGATTTTGAAGAAAGAGATGGCAGTCCGCTCTGTGAATAACTAAGTCTAACAAGGGACAGATTACACGAGGCGAGTTGACCCGGCTAAAGGCTCGTTTACACTTGCGAATTTTTTCTTTTGATAGATGTGAACGAGTAATTTGTTACGAATGCTCTGATGTACAAGAACTCTCATTTAAACATCAGTAACTGATTCACTCGTTCACATCGATCAAAAGATGAGAATCGCATATAAGATCGCAGCAAAAATTACAAGTAAACGGGCCTGAAACGAGATTCCTCGATCCCATTACCGGGACGATTCGAAGAGTGCGATTGCATGCGACATGCTGGACTGGTCAGGCAGGACAGGACAGGTCACACAGGACAGGTCAGACAGGACAGGTCAGGCAAGACAGGTCAGGTTAGAAAGGACAGGTCAGACAGGACAGGTGACAAGAAAACGGACCAATGACACCAATCAGCGCTTAGTGAGTCCACAGTTAATAGAATATACATGGTTTGGAGACCACATAAAACTACAATACAACTCATAAACTATGTTGAGGTAGATTTGTGCAAGAAATTGCATGTTCCTTTCTCATCACAGATAAACCAATAGCAAGATAAACCACACTCGCCTCATGTTATCGGCCTTTACAAAATATTTGCTAAATTTTTTCCACTACACTCTGAAAAGTCTTTTAAAGTTAAAGCCAATTTGTTTATATAGAAAGTTTTCTTGTTCCCCCAAATGAACCTTTTACATCAGAATCTTAATTTACATCAGAGTTTCATGTGCTTATGTAGTATGTACCTCAATTCTTCATGTTTCAATGCAATCGAGATCCTCTGAGAGAGTTCATGATAACATTCACAGACAGACGAGTCAACATCAGCCTGTGAGAGAAATAATGTGATCGTGATGCGTATTACAGTACTACTCTTCTAACTACAATCCTGGCCAAAATCATTGACTACACTCTATTTAAATGATTTGTAGTTTTTTACGCAAAACATCAACATTACTGTGTCGATTTTCCCCCACGCCCCCCCCCCCCCATAATCAATGTTGATGATAGCCCATGCTAAATGCTTGAATGAATTTTGACACATCACCCAACATTGATTTGTGGGGGAGAGGGGGGGGGGATTTTGAAATAAATCCCGCGACTGCTGACTGTAGTGTCAATTAACACTGAGTGTCGTCAATGTTTTGACCAGGATTGTAGTTCTTGCAAAGGCTTCTAACTAGTTCTTGTTCAATACAACAATGGCGAGAGTTGGAAAAATAATGACAGGTGCGGTTGGTTGGGCGGAACATAGCAGCTACACTTTACTTTGAGAATATAGACTGACGAGATCGAGTTAATATACTACGATGCAAATATTTTTCCGTACACACTCGGGATGGTCGCGCACATGCATTTTTGTTGGTCGGGCACATGCATCTTTAAATTTTGAAGGTTTGCAAGTATAAAAAGTTAGCTTTGGGAACGAAATGGTTCCAGCCAGAATTGGCTGAATAACTCGATCACTAGTTTAACATTATATATAGCGATAATTTAAATCGGCGCAAATCAAAGATGTTGCTGACTTTTTAAAGTGCATAGACATAGTAACTTTGTAAGAAAACAATATTACCTGCAGGGCAAAAACAATGTTGAACATTTTGATATTGGTGCTGGCAGCTTTAGTTTGTGCATCATTTCCCTAAAAATGTTAAAATACTTCTCATTTTACGATATGCAGAACAAATTCACCAGATATTCAAACAGATATTCACGATATGCACAACAAAATTAATATATATATAACAAGACGCCTACTCAGGCGATCACTCATGCTACAGTTATCTCGTAGTAACATGGCATGTTCGTGACACCCGCGCGAGAAATGATCTTAGGACGATTTCGATTGGTTCGAAGACTTCCTGCCGCCCACGCGTGATTTTTGTAAATTTGCGACGCAAAAGAAAAAATAGGTACGCAATGCGTACATGTGGGTAGCTTGTAAAACTTTATTAATGCGATAAAGCTGCTATAGTGGCGAGTAAATATCAACTGATGCAATAAAATATTATTTTCTAGTCCATAAACAACGGAATAAACGCCCTATAGTTAGCTGGTTGAGTACAGTTATAACGAAGTCGATTTATTACGCAATCTATATATTATAATATTTTATTGTATTAAATACATTTTAGGACAGATTAAAACATATATAAAAGCATTTTTACAAGAGATAAAAAATGAAATTTTTTAAGCGGAATAGGTGAACAGAACAAAAAGGAGAGTAAGGTTCCGGGATGGTGGCACACATCGTCTGATAACATAAAGCTTAGTTTAGAAGGAGAAAGATCTTAACAAAGATTTCAATGAGGATAAACTACTTGATTTGCCCGGTCATTTTACAGTCACATAACAAAGAGTCCAAAATTGTTTCAAACGTTTCGCATTAACATTTTTTAAGGACTTATCTATGTATCTGAACAATATTTTAAAGATTTTTGATCAGTTGAAATGCACTTTTGTTAACACTTTTGTTTTTTGAACTCCAAAGCATTTGGTTTAATAGCCACATGTCCACAAGGAAGAAATTGACAAGTGAGATATTGCATTATAATTTATAAAACAGGGCAACTTGTTACTACCATTAGCCAAATTATAATTTATAAAACAGGGCAACTTGTTACTACCATTTGCCAAATTATAATTTATAAAACAGGGCAACTTGTTACTACCATTTGCATTAAGGTAATGTATTTGGTTTAATAGCTGCATGTCCACAAGCAAGAAATTGACAGGTGAAATATTAAATTATAATTTATAAAGCAAGGCAACTTGTTAATACCATTTGCCAAATTATAATTTATAAAACAGGGCAACTTGTTACTACCATGTGCAATAAGGTAATGTATTTGGTTTAATAGCTGCATGTCCACAAGCAAGAAATTGACAGGTGAAATATCGCATAATAATTTTTAATTTATAAAACAGGGCAACTTGTTACTACCATTTGCAATAAGGTAATGTATTTGGTTTAATAGCTGCATGTCCACAAGCAAGAAATTGACAAGTGAAATATTGCATTATAAGTCTTGTTTGTTCGGAATTTGCTTTTTACTTTACTTTCTTAAATTGTCGGCTGGTCAAGGTTTTTGGTATAACGTACCGTTCGTCATCTTTCGTATATCCGAAGATTGCCGAAGATGTCGCACCCACAAACATACATGCATCCGGACACTTTTTCGACTACATAGTGGTTAGCCGCGCATGCGCAGGCTACCCACAAAAACCGAGCCCGGCCCCATTTTACAACTCGGTCTACCTACGGCAGCCCGAGTAAAAAAAAATTCTAATGATTTTCAGCTAGAGATGCCAATGCTAAAAATCTCTACAGGCTTTTCAATTTACTACAGAGTACAGATTTTTACATAGCATTACAGTGGTGCCAATAAGTTTCAAACAGCTGGGATTTTTCAATCTGTCGATTTAGATTTTAATTTTTCTTTGGTGTTTTTAGTCTTTAACTTTTTTTGGTGACCAATCAGATTTGCTCAAAATAAAATACAAATTGCCATCAGTCAATGCCAATGGAGCTTTTAAATTCCTTCAGGAATTCATGCTATGATTCGCTAGAGCCTGGAATTGCTGCAAACCAAGAGATTAAAATTCTGCAGGGTGTCTTAATTATTCTATTGGTGCAAGTGTAGAGAATTTTTGAGTGAAAAGCAAGCAATGTTTGCCGTACCTGAGTTTGGGTTGGCCGTGTCACAAGTGTAGGATGGCCAACAAACAAAACATCATCAATTCGAAGCTCAAATTTCTTTCCACAAAGTTTTTCACCAGGTGTCAATATGTTTGCAAGAGTCTTATCTGAATAGCTTTAATGCAAAATATGACAAAATAGACTAAGAATTATCACTCTCAAATGCTGGAGGAAAACATAAACTTTTTTTTTGAAAAATCCTTGCTCAAAAATGCTAAAGGTAGACACTCACTTTTGACATGCTTTCCTGGCAAAAGAAAGGGACCTAAAATATAGATCAAATTACAATTAATAGAAATATTTCCCACATTTTTATGATTGAAGAACCAAAAGATGTTCATACCGAATCTTGTTTTCAGATGATTTCTCACTTTCATCGCCAATAACCTGCTCCTCTTGACAGGCTGTAATTATTATTTCACATAATTTAAACATCAACCTTTATTATCTTGATATGGTACTAAAATGCTGCACAAATTGTGTGCTTTCCAGTCTGCAGAGCAGGGCATATTTCGCCAAGATCTTGGGGGTGAAAAACTAAGAAAATGGCTTAAAAAATATAAATGTGGGGTCATGCAAGGGCATGAGATATGAGGAGGAAGAAATACAGCAATTTATTAGAGATGACAAATAGAGTGCAAACAGCGAAGGTACCGGTAATGAATTTTCAGATAAATGATCAATGATGTACGTCTCTGACTTAATAAACTACTCAATGTTTACACTTTCACTTTACATATACAGGGATAGTGGGATACAATAGTGCACGAACAGTGACAAGAGTGATTTTTGTTTCCAAGAAGGAAGTAATATTGAATAAGTAATTGTTCTAATACTGGTTCAACCCACAATATTCACTCCAGCAACTCACTGTACTTTTCCCAGTATACTCATACACCATGTACACAATTTTAAAATATGTTGCCTTTTCAACCATGCAGATACCATTTTTATCTGAAAACACTTATCACTTACCAGTAACCTCTACATACTTGTCTTGACAAAATGGATACCTAAACAATAATTTCTCTCCTCTGCTACCAGCTGTTACTAAAATAACACTTATTGGCTCAAAAGAAGGCATAAAACAACAGAAATAACAAAAAAATCTATGCGCAGTTTGCAACCATTTGTGACCATCTCCAAACCATCACTGATTTCCCGAATCCCGACAAATATTTCCAGCGAAATTAGTCGAAGTACTGCAAAAGGCTTTACAACTCCAGTTTTTGAATATATTAAACAGTTAAACTTGCATAATTAAACCTAAAACATTTTAAACTTCAGGGCAGTCCAAGGATGTTTAAATGTACAATGATAAAACAAAAATAATAAGTCTTGAAACACAAAGATAACGTCGAAATATCGTCAAAATATCCGGCAAAATATTTCTGTGACATAGAGCTCAGTTAGCTCAGTGTCATCCAGTGTCATCCAGTCATCTGTGTCAGTGTCACTGAGCTATATACTAATTACTAAACCATGATGTATTTAAATTATGAAATGGCCAATATTATATTTACTTTATAAGAAGGTCTTGACTGGAAGATAAGAGTATTTATTTTGTATTTGCATAATACTACGGTGGAAATATAGCGTGGCGAGGATTAGTTAGGCCATTATTTTCAAAATGTCTCGCGAAGACGTGGTTTACATGTTGCTGCTGTTCGGAGCCATCCCTTTCGGACATCTTGTCAAAATATCTGGCTCACCTTCAAGGAAGCAATTTCTTGCATTATTTGCCGGTCTGGTCATGATCGTGGCTACCTCAGGCTTTAGAGGAATTGTGCATTCGTTTTGTACAATCTTGGGCACCTTTTTAATTCTTAAAATTGCCGGTCCAAGGTAAGCTTAAAAATTATGACATGATGTATTTTCGCTGACTATGCTAAAATTGACTGGACAGCGTCGTGAGTCAAATCTTTCTTGCGCTGTGTATTTTGCCTTTCTTTAAAGCTCTCAGGTTAACTAAGCTACAACGAATTGCATATAAACAAAATAATAATATTGCTTTCTCCCATCCTTAGCATGTTGTCAGAAATGAAATTTGATTGCTACATGTATTTCCTGCATAGCCAGCATAGCTAGGTCTGGTCATATATTTGTACTTTGCCCTAGAAGGGGTTTGTATGGCCAAGATTATAGGAACTGCTCCATGGGTGAAAATAATGTTTGAACTCCTACACTAAAGCTTTTTGCATATATTATGTCAGAATGTTTGATTTCTTACACTTAGGTTAAATCCTATGGTGAAAACCTTATATAAGGCTTTATAGGGGTTGTTCACATGGGCCTGCATGTTAAAAACGCTTCTTTAACCTCAGACAACTGGGCTCATATGTGAGCATGCAGTGATGCAGTCCCTAAAAAGGTGATAAGCTGATATATATTTCTAACAATGACTTGATGAACTGCTAATCCTTAGGACACATGGTGATTAAGTTAATCTACACATGCTTTGAAAATACAATCCTTTCTCAATATAGAAGCAAGCCATCTGTCTATGAAAGTCTGCCTCTAATAACAACCCTAATTTAAGCAATTAAATTGGCATTAACTTTAACTATAACCACCACTATTTTTCATCGTCAATGGTTTCAGATATGGTCCATGGTCAGCATTTCTATATGTGTTTGGTTATTTGTTTTTCTTCCGAACATGTCACTGGTACGGGCTTCCCCAACCACCTCCTTATTCAAATGCAGTACAGCTATTGGTTACCCTGAGGGTAAGTTCTTTTTGTGTTTCATGAAATCGCAAGAGATACCTGCTATATCTGATCTGAATTTTGTTTTATTTTAGATGTGTACCATTGCATTTGAAGGTTTCCAACTGAGCTGTAAAAACAGACCTAGGAAACTAGAGGAGATCACGGCAAACTCCAAGCTACAAGTTTCATTATACGATACTTTTAGTTATGGATATTCTTACTGTGGCCTGATGACTGGCCCTTATTACAGATTAACTACTTATGTAGATATGCTTCACCAGACAAAGCCAATTCCAACATTGAATGTTGTTCTTCAAAGACTTAAACATGTTCCCTTTTTAGCAGCAATTTATATTCCCCTAAATGCATATTTCCCTGTGAGTCATCTTACAAGCATGGCATTTGAAAATCATTCCTGGGGAACGTTATACCAAATTGCATATTTGATACCTTTGTTTGGCTGGTTTCGATTGAGGTTCTATATTGGTTGGCTGTTGGCAGAGAGCAGTTGTTTGTCTATGGCTTTAGGAGCATATCCCGAAGAGTGCAAATGTCGACCAGGACAAGGACCAACAGTTGAATTTCCTGAAGATAAAAAGATAGAAAAATATGAGTATGATAAGTATTATGTTTCATATCTTTCATGCAGAAATAACCATGGTGCAGTAAGCATTGCAGGGTCTTTGAGGACTTCTTATTAAATATAATTGAAACAACTGCTTAAAAGCCCCTTAGGTCATAACTTTGGCATTGCCAGTGTGGTTGCCCAATTTAGTCAAAGAAACAAATCTGAAATCTTTAGCACCATGAAAAACCAACCACAATAGCAGGTTGATCTAAAATTTTGAAAGGTTAGCTCTCATACTGAATTTTGTTCTGCTTTCTTATGATAGTTTTGAAACAATTCGAAACATCAGGCTATGGGAGACAGAATTTGCACCAACTCTTCATAAAACTACCAAGACATGGAACATGACTGTCCAGTGGTGGCTAGCTCAATATTTTTACAAGAAATTCCCATTTAAGCAACACAGGTTGGTTAAAGTAGAGATGTGCCCTGTTTTTGTACCAAAGGATCAACTGAACATTAGTTTTAATGTCTCTTTCAGAATGTGGGCTACATTTTTGTTCAGTGCTTTCTGGCATGGTGTTCGACCAGGCTATTACCTTACATTTATGAGTGTACCTCTTGTCATCTTGGCCCAGTCATTAATGGAGAAGTTAATTCAACCATCAGTAGAATGGAAGACCACATATGATTGGATAAATTGGTTGATTCTTCATCGCTGCTTTGAGTATCTTAGTGTTGCTTTCATACTGTTAGATATTAATGCAATCATACAAACATGGACACAGATGTACTTTTATAATCATATTATGACTCTCTTCTTTATCCTTTTGGCGTTCATTTTGATGAGAAAGAAAACTAACGAACATGGGGTAAAGTTGGAAAATGGCAAAAAGAATTCTTAGTTAAAAAGACAAATTATGAAATATACATTTTAAATGGTTTATTTCTTCTTAGATAAAATTAGCTATCTATAGTTTACATATTCATAAATGTTGCCCAGTTATTTACAGTTGTTGGCAGTTTCATAAATTAAAGTGGGTAACAAGAAAGAACAGGCTGCCATTGTTTCCTTCTCAAAAAAGATCAGCTTCAAGTGACAGTCTACCAGTAAGATTTAATTAGTGATTAATATTTTCTCATTGGTGTTTCAAAGCATTTCTATCAGTCAATTTGGACTCTGCCTTGACACTGTACAGAGACACCATTCCAAGGTGTGACTTACTATGTGTGTTAAATTTAGCATGTTAAAACGAAGGTCCCCAATTGACACCTTAATCACCATGAAAAAGGAGGCAGGATGATGTTAAGCTCAGCATATATAGTAATATCTCCTGTGTTCTGTCGAAGTGCATAAGATCTTTGAAATAACATGTTTGTTGAACAAGTGTTTAGTAAATATATCCCAAATGTATCACAGACAAGTAGACTCGAGTAGCCGACCAGCAGCCAATTGAAGGCCCTTCCATATTTGAAACAATGTTGGTAGGCCTTTAACATTTAATTGTATACCATGTTAATCCATTTTTCACATTCGTGAGGGACGTGAGCCACGTTCTTGTAAAGCCTAAACAACAAAAGAAGGTCTTGATTACGTTGAAAACAGTTGAGGCATACTTCATCACCAGGTAGTATATGTATGTATCACCAGGTAGTAAATGTATGTATCACCAGATAGTATATGTATGTACACTCATACTAGCAATATTTCCATACAATATAAGTGCAATTACAATATATGCATCAGGGTGGGCAGTGTGCTGTTAAATTGACTGGCATGAGCATTCTTTATGAGGCTTATCAATTTTAAAAAAGAATGGGATATTCATTGGCAATTAAGGAAGTGACTGATGAAAAGTTGCAGAAATTAACCCATGCTGCCATGTCTCAAATAATTAATTGGTGCATTTTTTGCCAGAAATTGGACTGGTTTTGTGTCAAATGTCAAACAGATAAAATCTGCAAAACTTGTTATATGCAGAGATGTTCTGTGATTTTTTCACTTTTGAGTTACATGACTAAAAATTGATTTTAAATAGGAAATTTGTTTGTAGGTGAATGAACTATTGTGCATATAGTTGTTCTTCAAATGAACAAAGTTGCCTTGATAAAAACAGGCTTAACCATTTGTTCAAAAATAAATTTCAAAATCGAGCAAATGAATTTCACACCCGACAACTTATATCTATTAAAGCAGAGCAGCACAAAATTGCACAATAAATTTTTCGGTAACTAATTTGTCAATATAATGTAATAATGTATAATTACATTATATTAACAAATTAGTTATTACTGAAAAATTTATCCTGCAATTTTGGGTCACCTATGAATAACATGCATTAATCATTACAATGTTCATCCATATTACTCCTACCTTCGCTCTCTCACTTTGGGCTGCCGCCACTTGCTCCTCAGAGTCTGTGATATCTCGAGAGACGACACACAGGAACTCTGCCTGGTCTTCAGCACCATACTGGTAATTGCTACCAACACTAATTAACTGTTCAAATCTCCACCCATCTGGTAACGACGAAACCATCTGCGTTAGTTCATCCTCATGGTATTGAATTACCCTGTACACATGCTTTGTCGATGACTTCTGCAATTTGAAAAACAGTGAGTTGAGCAATATGGGTGGTGTATTTCTAAGATCATGTTTACTAAAGGTGCTAGTACATGGTTGCAATTTTTCTTGCAACTTGCAATGCAATTTTTGAGAAATGTAAATTTAGTGACTAACAAAATTTTGTGTTTATTACACTCCATACATGTTTCTAACAGTCACATTTTGAAGACTCCTCACTAGTGGGCATCTCTTAAAAGAAGAATTGCAAGAAAAATTGCACCATGTAACAGCATGGTGTTACATGGCTTAAGGCATGTAAATTGTTTTGAGAGAAAAAATTTCTTACCTGAGTTTTTTGATGAACTTGTCTAATTTTATCTTTGACTAAGTGTATAAGTTCTGTAATATTATAAAATTCTGCTTCCTCTAAAACTCCTAGAAGAAATATAATGCCATTCTTATTAGGTGTAGTGTAAATATGCTACATATTAAATCTAAGGCTATGTGCACACGGTTTTCACATTTGTTTTCATGCCAAAATGGTTTCAAACACCATCAATTTACGATAGAGGTTGAAGCTCTATATATTTATATATTTATATATATTTATATATTTATATATATATATTTAGCATATTTTTCCTTGGAATGTGTGGACACCGTGTCAAAACAATAAAATAGGCAAAAACGATTTTGAAAATGCTTGAAAACTACGCTTCTGTGCACATAGCCTAAATGTGATAGAAGCAAGAGGTCTGTGCTGGTGGCCAATGAATAATTTGCTTTGCATATTGTATAAGCACTGGTTTTGTTCATATTTGAACAAATTTAACATAAATAACATTAGAATGTTATCCGAAAACATCATCTTCTTCCAAACCATTAACCCAACAAGGCCCCCTTCAAAATTTTAGTAGTTGAATTCACAAAATGGAATTTTCTGTCTAAAAATATAACTTCCTGCCCAACCTGTGCTGTTCTACGGTAGTTTACTTATACATTCCAAGGAGCAATTGAGATTCCCAACTTTGTGTAATTTGCCCATAGGAAGGTTAGTCATGTGATAAATGTGGCTTTAATTACCCATGGTTTGCTGTTGACAGAGAAAATTGACTAGAATACTCAGGTGAATATTCAAAGTGAGGTTTCATTGTTCGTTCAAATTTAGATTTAGACACAGTTAAGTGGGCCTTGCTGTGAAAATCACATGGTAGGTCTCCTACATCCCTAGGAGCAATTGAAATTGCCAACTTTGTGTAATTTGCTCATAGGAAGGCTAGCCATGTGATTAATGGGGGTTTAATTACCAACACCATAGTTTTCCATTTCACAGAAAAAATTGACTAGAATTTTCAGGTGGCATATTTGAAGTGGGGTTTTGTTGTTTGTTCAAATTTATATTTAGACATAGTGAAATGGGCCGTGCTACTAAAATCTACAAAATGAACAATGTATGATTCCAGCTATATGTTAAACTGTAAATTCTGATCTAGAGGCAAGGGTAATAACACTAGACTGACTAGAGCTTGTAAGAACATCTTATAATAAGTAAATAATGAAAAGTAAATAGGTTGCAAAATGTTTGAAATTTTGGGAAATATAATACTGTAAAGTTCAGGAATATTGTATATTTGGCATCACAATATGTGATTCAAATATGTACTAAATTTACCAAATCCGTAGGGCTATATTTATAGGCAAACTTTCACTTTGTCATTTTTTTTCAAATTTTAAATTCTCTTCCCAGCTTTGGTGTTGAATTTCGTTCTGTGTGCCTGTGTCAAAATTTAACCCATGGCTGGATACATCTATTGAACTTTAAGTTTGTTTTAAACTCGATATAAAGCATGTGCGATGCAACCTTTCACTGAAAACAGGTGTTAAAATTATTGGTAAAATCATACCTTCATCTGACAAGCCTGTGTCTATGATGAGTTTACCATGCCGGAGATAATTTAAAATTGGTCCAAAATATCTCGGGTCTCTATCGATCATATAAGCTCCCTGTTCGTCCTAAATGGATATAAAATATTCGGCATAATTTTAGATATAAAATTGCTGCAAGTTGGAACATGGAATTTCATTGAACGCAAAACTGCACTTACTTTATCGGTCGGAAGCTCGGGATCTTCCATGATAAGCCTCGAAAGAAATGACTTAGGATCTCTACTTAACGTGGTCTTTGTGGTCAAGAAATGCGTGCCGCCAACATTTAGTTTTACCCAACTTTTTGAGCGCTTCTTGCCTTCTTGTTGATTCGAAGCCGCCATATTTGGGATTTGCCTGCACAAAGACGCTACACCTGAACGCCGCGCCCGCGTACTTTCAGGCTGATGGCACTGATCTCAAGTACAATCAAGGCTACTGTAATACTGGCCAAAACACAACCTCGCACCCAGGGGCCAAAACATTGACGGCAGTCGCGTGATTTATTTCAAAACTCTCCCACTTTCCACCACAAATCAATGTTGAGCGATGTGTCATAACTCATTCAAGCATTTAGGATAGATTCAACATTGATTAAGGGGGCAAAGGGAGGTGTAAAAAACTACAAATCATTGAGTGTAGTCAATCGTTTTGGCCAGATTTGTGGGAACGAGGTTGCCCTTGCCATTAGGTCGTGTACTACAAACCAATTTTTGAGATGCAGAATTCGACTCACCTTTGATTGTGTCTATTTTAAATGCGTTCGTATGTGTTGGTTTCGCAATAGCATTTTTTGATCGTTCAAATTCAAAAATTCAAAACACCGAAACAATTTCATAAGATCTTAAAAGCCGTTTCGTTGACCATGGTCAGTTACGGGTGACACTCAAAACTGTGACACTCAAAACATCAAGTCTTATGAATACTGGAACAGACGTAAGTTGCGGAAATTGAAAATATAAAAGTCGTGAGATGCGACATGTTGCCAGGATAGAACGTCATAGACGGACGAGTTTATGTGGTGAGAACGGGTTATTATTTACTATGTGGCTAAAGCTCCCCAAATTATGTCAGATGTAAATAAAACATCGCGCTATGCCAAAAACTATTGGTTGATAAATGCTGCTGAATACTGGATTACGTCATCGAATATCACGGGAAAGAGATTTATTTATATAAGGTATTTTATTTATTTAATTATTTATTTATTTCTACGCGAGTCTGTTTGAAATCACCGAATTTGCGTTGGTTACTTTGTACTGTCTTCTTCTATGTCTGTTGGAGTTTGGTTTTAAGTTGGAGTCCACTCTCTCTCTCTCTCCCTCTTTCTCTGCTGAAGGTTCTGTTGTTGTGCACACCATTTTATGATTAAAGGTGAAGCATCTGTACTCGCTATGTGCGCTAGTGGGATGGTCCATAAATAGCCAATCGACGTTGTAGGTTCCAATTGTGGGTTGGCGTTAGAGGCTAGGTCCAGCTTTCGTGTTTTCTTTAGGTTTACCTTAGCGCGTTGACGTAATAGTCTAGAGATTGTCTTTTGCTTATCCAATCAATGTTAAAACGTGTTCACAACTTAAAATATCTGTCATGCAATTATAGTAAAATTACCGTATAACTCCATGAACCATATCTCAAATTTTATTTTCACTAATATAATTTTAGCAAATTAGGCTTTTCGTCACGTAATGCTTTAGGTTCTTAAGCTTAACCGCGCAAAATATAACAAAGAAATGATCGACACAAGCTAGTATCCGCCTTTTTGAGTAGTGACACTTGAACTTTGTACGACATTCCTGTTGTTTGGCTGAGAATTCCATGGGATGTCACTACACGACAGGAAAAGCAGTTGTATTGGGGATGGGCCATAATATAGTATTTACTTTTCATGCATGTCATGCCAGGAACACCGCAGAAGTTGGTGTTTATGACGTTTCAACCAGAAAATCTGATCGCTGGCTCACATTGTGCATTACTGTATCGCTATCAAAGAAAAAACTATTGAATAAATTTAAAATTTTTGGTTTTTCTTCCGAATACGCATTATGCGATCTTTTGACAGCTCATCATACATATCTGACAGCTGTGAAAAGGCCATTTTGAGGCTTAACGTATACACAAGGTTATTAAATCAGATTCGTTTTTACTGTGTGCAAGCTTTAAATATGCATGATATATTTTGTGTAGTATCTATAAATCGTTTTTCTAACAATGTTTTGAAGTATTATTCAATTTCTCCAATTTCTGCAGTGTCTATGCTAGGTGACATATGCCCTAAGTTATATTCTAAGCTACATTCATTGGAAGTTTTCGAAATATGAAACGTATATTTCAATTTCCGGTTATATAATTCGATGTTCGACAAGTCTATTTTTTATCGTTACGAAATCACAAATTCCGGCAAATTATAGATGTTTTATTATAACTTAAGCCGCGTTTACACTATGTGCTTTGATCTGGCCTAGCTGGACCAGGCCTAGGCCTATATAGATGGATGGGCAGTGCTGCACTTCGCTGTTAACGAACGTACGCCCGCCCGAATTTTAGTAACATTTCTTGTACAAAAGGGCGCTGATGTAATTGGGAAGATGAGTAGCGGGAAGACGGTGCTCCACACTACTGTTACTAGAGGTACGCTGCAAATGGCAAAATATCTTGCAGAAAAGGGCGCCAATGTAAATGTCAAGGATGCATACGGATGTACAGCGCTGCACACTGCTGTTGCTGAATGTTCGCTTGAAACGGTCAAATTTCTTGCTGAAATGGGCGTTGATGTAAATAACAAGAAAAAGAATGGTTGGACAGCGTTGCATAGAGCTGTTACTAAAGGTACGCTGGAAATGGTAAAATGTCTAGTTCAAACGGCGCTGATGTAACTAACAAGAAGAAGAATGGTTGGACAGCGTGGCATAGAACTGTTACTAAAGGTACGCTGGAAAATATATGTGTGTGAGCTATACGGTTATTTATATAGGACAGGTTAACATGCATAATACAGAAATAATTAGCAAGTAATAAGCAAGACCATATTACATGCAGTCGTACACACCTTAATAACTTGAGTGAAGCTCAATGAAATGCCCTTGTACTAAATTTCGAGGTGCAATAAAATCAACGCATGCACTTCATCATCAGCGCACTTTAAACTATGCATTAGGCCACATTTAATATTCATTTTCCGAACGATCATTTTCTTTTCAAATCGATTATCTTTGAAGTCTGGTAACATGAATATATGAATATGTGCCTCCCTCCCATTTATCGATGCCACGCCTAAATTTCACTAACCTTGCATGTGACTCGCTATAGAAGGTAAGGATATTTCTACACAAATGCTCCCTTATAATATAAGTCTTTATCTTCCAACGAGAGTTTGGTAATAATTTGTGCTCGGGAAATTCCTCTCAATGTGCCAAAACTACGGAATGTTTTATGCAATGCTGCTTTTCCCGCGCTCATTTCGACGATGGTTTGTGTATTTTAATGGAATCATTATTCTATTTAGATGCAGTGTTTCACTTGGTAAATTGTTAAATTTACAGTTTAGATTGGTACAATGCATGATTCACGAACCACCATTTCTTTCACAATATCTCCCAAGCTTGCACACCCTCAAAAATCAGGAAAAACGTTCATCAGCTTAAGAAATTATAACTTATTGAATTTGGTTTACTTTTTTATTGCAAGACTATCCTGACAAGAGAAGTTATCACACCGTTGTGTAAAGGTGTTCTTGACTTGAGTACTTGCAGGTCACGTGGTAAGGCATACATCTAGGTCTGATATTTCCGTGATCTCGAAAGAGTGGGAAATTTTGGAAAATATAATTATTTATTTCTGATTGCACAAACGAGAACACATTCCAAACAGGGTCAAATTCATTACTTTTTTTAAATGGGGAAATGAATAGACAGGCCAGTCAAGGAATACACAGAACGAAATAGCAAAAACGTGGTGGTTTGGTTTATTTTCCTTTTTCTTTGCTCAACATATTTCATGAATTTTGCGAAAGATAGATGGTATATATATAAATGAACAGTACCACAAAGTGCCATTGTGATTTTAAGCTCCTCTTTGAAAATCTGTAAAACTCTATACACTCCTTCTTCACCCTTCAAATTAACGAGATTATTTATTAATTCGAATTAAAAAAATCATAGACTGGTTTTAAGTCAGTGTTTGCGATAACATAACTGAATGTTTCGGGGGGGGGGGGGGTTGTGAAGTGAGCTAAGAAATTTCTTTTAACACTGTATGACAAATCTTTGTCAATGGTGTCGTTTTGTAACTGTTTATCAATCGACCATAATCTTATGTAAATTACAGGAGATATCTGGGAAAATATCTATCTCAACGTTAATGTAATAACGTTAGACTACCACCTTCCACTACGGTCTGACAAAATATCTTCCTGACACTATCGAGAGAACCCGACATGCGTATCATTTTTCCGGATCTATCGTATGAAGATGTAGCTAAGATGTTTTGGCTACTATTGATATGAAGCATTCGTGGGTGGGACGAAAAGACTTGTGCTAGTTAACGATAAACCATAAACTCCATCATCTATTACCTACGAAAGTTCTGGATATATCATATATGCACAATCTTGAAGTTAATTTTAAAAACGTACTATCGTACAAAACAGATATAGGGGCTATAGATGTGATATATGTAGACGTGTTTTCGTATTGTCTTTATATTATATTGCAGGGAAAATATATGTATATGTACTCTATGCAACTCAGTCGATTGGCTGTCATATGGAGTATTGATAAATGGTTTATCTATTTATTTATTTAAAAAATATTGCCATTTTACACCCTTTGCACGGTAGCGTAATATAAGGATAAAATTATAAGTTGATTTATACCTGATGGGCAAGACCCCATAAGATCGGTCGCCCGATGAAGACCGCTCTCGCTCCTAAAGCCAATGCTTTGAAAATATCTGAACCAAACCTGATACCACCGTCCAGATACACTTCGATGTCATGACCGACGGCTGACACTATTGACGGTAAGACTTCAATCTAAACAGAGATAGCCCATCAATAATCAATGAATTTGATAGATATACTTGCTATATTAATCAAATTACAAGAACTAAAGTGGTAATTAAACACTATATAAAGATACTTATAAGTAATTAAAAAGGGTAAATTTATTTGCGATTGTTTAAAAATAATTTTTATCTAGGAAAAAATCTGCTTGAATTTCTACTTAACTATCAGTTAAATTTAGAATTCTTTTGATTTAATAATTAATCAGAATGTAGTAAATTCATTCTTTCAAATATTACGAAAAATATTTGTTCGATCGAATAGCATCTTTACCTTTCCAATGCAAAAGGCATAATCGACCTACTTTTGATTTAGGCAACAAAAAGGAATTTTCCAAAAAGTAGATACCTAATTTAGTAAAATTACCAAGTTTGGCTGCAAGATATCGTAAAGTACAGAAAATATAGCCATGCGAATTTGGCAATTTTGTATACTTTTTTTACCAATGCCGGAAGTGTGTAACTAAATTAGTTAAACGCTTCCGGCCGTATAGTAAAAAAGTATACAAAAATTGGCTACTTTGCGTAGCTATATTTTCCGTAATACATGACATTTTGCGGCAGAACTTTGCAATTATACTCATTTTGGTATGCTCTTTTTAGCTGTGGTGATTTATTTCCTTCTTGTTACCTAGATCGTCTAATGGAAAAGGTCCATTGAAAGGAAATTGGACATGAATAGGAATAATCAGCCGGAATACATTAACTTGTTACATACCGTCGCGGGAACACCATTTAGCTGCCGACCCCCGTGATTTGAAACAATGATACCATCAACACCGTATTTTACAGCGAGTTTTGCATCTTCGCCGGTCAATATGCCTTTCATTACCACTGATAATGATGTAATAGACTTCAACCAAGGAATGACCGTGTCCCATGTTGCTGATGGATCATGAACTTCGTCTATATTGGAAGGACCGACTTTTGTCATATTCCTGGATTCGAATACCTTTTTAAAATTTGGGAGCGGTGGTACGGTAAACTGACAACGAATATCATTGTGTCGTTTACCACAGATCGGCATGTCAGCGGTTAATACGATTGCTTTATAACCAGAAGCTTCAGCACGTCTTATGACGCTTGCCATAGCATTTCGATCCACTAAGATGTCCGTATGGAACCATTTTAATCCTTCGGTGTTGGCGGCGACGTCTTCAAGACTTGTAAATGACCAGGAACTCAGAGTCATACATGTCCCAATGCGAGAACTGGCTATACATAAACAATATGGCGATCAGTTATTTCCCAGAGTCATGGGTGTTGCACACATGCAGTGGCGTCGCCAGCATCGTTAAGTGGGGAAGGGGGAAGCATATTCATATATTCAATGTTTAAAAACAGTGAAAACAATAAATTTAAAAAGAAATGAACAATTTCTAGTCGCACACGTTCTTGCTGAAAGGATAAGGAGTTATATTGCAAGCGAGAAAAGAGAAATAGAGTTTTTTTAAGCTATGTGAAAAGTTCTACAAAAAAGTGAAATGTATATCTGCCTAGATCTTTGACACTATATACTTCACGAAATTTAGAGTTAACTGGCTTTTTCATCACAAATACTGACCTTTTGCAGTTCCAATTTCGCCATCAGGATGTGCAAGTTTGTGCATGGCGGTTGGTGCGATACAAAATGGCACATCAATTTTCTCACCAAGGATCGATGTTGACATGTCAACGGAAGACACATTGCGTAGAATTCGTGGCAAAAGTCTGAGTCTAATGAGAATGATGTAAGCTCTAGTGATTTTTTTGAAGCTACCAAACATTTTGGGGTTTTTTTTCTATGTTTTTCCATGTGAGCAAAAGAAGGAAACATCAGTGAGCTAACTACTTCTGGGCTACGTAAAGGCGATTCTCCATTGCGTCCGCGACGCCCGCGCGGGTTAAGCGCGTTTTGTTTTTCAGACCCGTAACGGTCGCATGGACAGAATTTCAAAAGCCGCTTCGCCTGCGCGGGTGAAGCGACCGGTAATGGAGAATCACCTTAACGTAGGCGGGATCCTACAGACCAGCGCGTTGAGAGGCCTACAGTTTTGAAATCGAATCCAGATCATTAATCGTGCAGAGAATCGTGCAGAGAATATGTATGAACTTTATATCAATCTTTAGAGGCATTGTATTTATTTATTTATTCAACTTTAATAATAACATACTTGACACAAACAGAAAGGGACATACAGTGTGCAGACACACATAATGAATCAAGCTGTCATCGAAATAAATAATTGCTATATAATTTATGTTGAGAATAGTTGATGAGTTGAACTACGTTGCGTTACTACGATGTGCTGTTATTTGTAAACTAATGTAAACTGTTTATCATTTTGTTCCAGCTCAGTAGCCACGGAGTGCCTTAGACGAACTACACAACACGAAATGATAGAACTGTCCTGAGGATGTGTCAAAGTTTAATACACTGCAGAGTTCAAAAAGTTTAATGCCATGATTTAACACAGAAACTGTGTCTGATAAACAACGATTAACTACAATTTGGATTTTGGCACGAACTACAACGTGGGATAATTAATTTTGTTACGGCATGGTAGAAAACGCGGGTAGCGGACTACGGACTACGGATTACGGACTACGGCTTACGGACTACGGACTACGGATTACGGATTACGGACTACGGATTACGGACTACGGACTACGGATTACGGACTACGGACTACGGATTACGGACTACGGATTACGGACTATGGACACAATCTTTAAAAAAATGCGAAGATGTTGCCTTCACTCAATAAAACATTTTGGCATTTTTCACATATTTTTTCAGGCTTTAGGTAAATAAAAGATTTTAGCAAAATTTCAGCATAGGTCACCAGACAATTTGATAACATGGCGCTTTTTTGTGAAAATTAATGACGTTAGCAATAAATAGGATTCTCGTTACGCATAGTGACTATGTCACGCAGCTAGGAGTTTTATGTTTTTTTGTGCGCTTTTATAGGCTTGCTTTCTCGACAGTGCAAACTGTTACGCAAATTATTGATTTGGAGCGGTTTATTTGGGACTTCCTCCAGATAACACACGATCGTTTTATGTATCAAACCACCTTATAAACGATTTCAATTTGCACAGAGTGTTTATTCATTACTCTATGAAAGGCTATACAGCAACATTCAAACATGCAGTCGCCCATAAATATTTGCATGTAAACGTGAACGAGAATAAACGCAACACAATGTTCATATAAATAAAATAAAAAACGGCGGAAAGCACATTCAACAAATTCCATATAGTTTTGCTATAATCCCATATCCCAGCTAGCACAATCACGTTGTATTAGCGTTCGTCAAACGTTAGGATAACGTTATTTATTAACGTTGGGTAAACGTTTTTTTGTAAACTCGTAGGAACGTGGTATCAACGTTAGGATTAACGTTACAGCGCGACGTTCAACCTCGTACCCAGGGTCTTTACTCGTGACCACGAGTAAAGACCCTGAGTACGAGGTTGCGCGACGTTAATACAACGTCCGTACAACGTTCAACTCAATGTTCATATAACCTAATGTCCGACGTTAATGCAACGTTCAGCCAACGTTTGGCGCCAACGTTCGGCCAACGTTTAAAAAACGTTCAACCAGCGTTAAGATAACGTTGGATATCAAGGTTGAGACAACGTGAATTATTTCGGGGTATTTGAAAATTCCTGCAACTTCGTTTGCGAGATTGCGAATACGGATAACTTATAGTCATCTGAGTCATTGTTCGCCAGCCTGTGAATACATGTAGATTTTATGTCATTGACATTGATTAAAACATTTCTAGCAAATTGACAAAACGGCTTCGACAAGTCGCGCTGTAACGTTAATCCTAACGTTGATACCACGTTCCTACGAGTTCACAAAAAAGTTACTCAACGTTAATAAATAACGTTATCCTAACGTTTGACGAACGCTAATACAACGTGATTGTGCTAGCCGGGATATGGGATTATAGCATAACTATATGGAATTTGTTGAATGTGCTTTCCGCCGTTTTTTATTTTATTTACATGAACATTGTGTTGCGTTTATTCTCGTTCACGTTTACATGCAAATATTTATGGGCGACTGCATGTTTGAATGTTGCTGTATAGCCTTTCATAGAGTAATGAATAAACACTCTGTGCAAATTGAAATCGTTTAAAAGGTGGTTTGATACATAAAACGATCGTATGTTATCTCGAGGAAGTCCCAAATAAACCGCTCCAAATCAATAATTTGCGTAACAGTTTGCACTGTCGAGAAAGCAAGCCTATAAAAGCGCACAAAAAACATAAAACTCCTAGCTGCGTGACATAGTCACTACGCGTAACGAAAATCCTATTTATTGCTAACGTCATTAATTTTCACAAAAAAGCGCCATGTTATCAAATTGTCTGGTGACCTATGCTGAAATTTTGCTAAAATCTTTTATTTACCTAAAGCCTGAAAAAATATGTGAAAAATGCCAAAATGTTTTATTGAGTGAAGGCAACATCTTCGCATTTTTTTAAAGATTGTGTCCATAGTCCGTAATCCGTAGTCCGTAATCCGTTGTCCGTGATCCATAGTCCGTAGTCCGTAATCCGTAATCCGTAGTCCGTAATCCGTAGTCCAAAATCCGAAGTCCGTAATCCGTAGTCCGTAGTCCACTACTCGCGTTTTCTACCATGCCTTTTGTACGGCATTACATAATCTCTTAAACGATGCTAACTCCAATTTCAGAATGAAGATGAAGAATTTGTGTATTTTCGTAATTTGCTGCAACTAATTCAAATCTACTTTAATGAGTAATGACACTCTTACCGTTTAAAGGCTGCAGTAGATTTAAACAGTGTCTGTTTGTCATTCGCGGCGGAAGCATAATAGTCGAATACGGCCTTTGGTAACCGCTCTTTGGCGAGCATTTCAAAATCGCTAATGCAAATAGGTTCATTATTCATTGTGACGCTTTCCATTTCGTAAAGGTAATTCAAGTTATTTTTGATAGATAACGACCACTTCGGACTGCAAAAAGCTTTGCTTCAAGCGTATGATTTAATAACCAATGCAAAACTATGGAGTCTCGCAAAACAAAGAGGCACTTATATTCTGTCTGTGATCATTGTGATGCAAATTTGATTTCGGCCAGTGTGTGGCCATTATCAATGACAAAATTGCAAAATAATTACGGCAATGATGATCGTGTAATTCAATATCTTTAAACAATGTATATGACAAGATTAAAAAAATGCGAATTCAACTATGACAGACTGCTGTATATAAAGTACTAGAGAAATTGACACAATTTTTGTATGGTATCTGTAAAACAAGGAACGGGGAATCGGGGAAAGGAATGGGGAAAGGAACGGGGAACGGTAAAACCGGGAATGAGAAAAGCCGGAATCTGTAAAACCAGGAATGAGAAAAGCCGGAATCTGTAAAACCAGGAACGAGAAAAGCCAGAATCTGTAAAACCAGGAACAAGAAAAGCCGGAATCTGTAAAACCACGAATGGGAAAAGCCGGAATCTGTAAAACCCGGAATGAGAAAAGCCGGAATCTGTAAAACTAGGAATGAGAAAAGCCGGAATCTGTAAAACCCGGAATGAGAAAAGCCGGAATCTGTAAAACCCGGAATGAGAAAAGCCGGAATCTGTAAAACCAGGAATGGAATTGCTTAACTTGTTATGTTTATGTTCTTTTGAGTTTTGATCATATTCACAACAGTAGAGCGTGTTTGTCCTACGGGGCGACTGGTGTTAATTAACAAACGGGAACAGACTGTAGCATTGTTGTTATCATACATATTTATCATAGACCATCTAACATTATTATCATATCAAACATTATTATGTTTGTTATTATATACATATTCAGTTTTATAATTTTATTCGCAACAGACGTTTGACAGACGTGCGCTTTAATTCTCTGTGTTGTATACGTTGTAAAGTATCGTATTTCATTCTGTCTGAAGATCTCTTTAAAATGAAGTCGAAATTTTGACTCTCAAGATTGCTTTATTTAGGTATTGAATCGTTCGTTTGCGCGTAGATATTGCGCGTAAAATATGAAGTATAAACTAATAATTTTAATAATGATAGGAGACTATGGTAATAATATAGAAGGGGCTAGTAGCTCAGTCCATTCCTGGTTTTACAGATTCCGGCTTTTCCCATTCCTGGTTTTACAGATTCCGGCTTTTCCCATTCCTGGTTTTACAGATTCCGGCTTTTCTCATTCCGGGTTTTACAGATTCCGGCTTTTCTCATTCCGGGTTTTACAGATTCCGGCTTTTCCCATTCCTGGTTTTACAGATTCCGGCTTTTCCCATTCCTGGTTTTACAGATTCCGGCTTTTCTCGGTCCCGGTTTTACAGATTCCGGCTTTTCTCATTCCTGGTTTTACAGATTCCGGCTTTTCTCATTCCTGGTTTTACCGTTCCCCGTTCCTTTCCCCGATTCCCCGTTCCTTGTTTTACAGATAGCCATTACAATAAGGACTAGCCTATTAGGTTTTCGATTATATCTTTCGTATATCAATACGACCAGAAACAACCAAATTATCGTACGAAAATAAAATTTCTTGAAATCAAATTTTCCGCTAATATTAATTCGAAGTGACACCTAAAGACAAAAAATATTGCAAACTTAATTCAACGAAGAAAGCGCTTTTTTTGCACAAGAAGAAGTTTGCGAAAAATTTACATTTCTGTTCTCAGTGATAAATAACATTTCAAACTGCCTTGTTTGACAAATTTTCAAAGAAAAATGTCCAATTCCCATCGGCGGAAGAATGTTATTTTATCGACTTTTTTGTCGACCCAATATTCGTTCATTTTTTAACAGAATGACGCGTGCATAGATGTCATTTGAAAGGCAAATAAATAAACTTAACAATGGTGTTAAAATCAACCAATTCTGCCACATTTATTCTGCGTAAATACAGGCCAAATTTGGGTTCGAATTTTTTTTATACACACACACTGTACATAACTATAACTGCATCTCTCGTTTGCGACTGAGTGACCGTAAACACTTAAAAGGCCTGGGGTGGGATGTATAAAACATTGCATTGCGTCACATATATCGCTGACTATCCATAATTTGTATAGCTTGGATTAAATATCTTTCAAAATTCACCGGATAGTGGTTTTTTCAATCGCTTTAAAATCACCCGTTGTTTGCTACAACTTTGATTAAACCTTAGTATTCCTAAATCGAGTATCCTCTTTAATAATTGCTGGTTCCAAAAATGGAATTTTATCGCTTTTCGAGCATTTTTAGAACGGTTGAAAAAATCACTATCCAGTGGATAGCGCTATCCGGCTTTCATACAACCGACCCCAAGTGAATAAATATGCGGAAGGCAAGGTGATAAGAAATTTTTTCATAACGAGGACAACGGACGCGAGAGTTCGGGATCCATACCCTGCACAAAGACTTGAAGAATAGAGCATGGGTGCGAAAGTTTTTGGAAAATTGTCGACGCGCAGTCGGTGAACGAAAGTATGGTCCAATGGACACGGAAGAACGAAAGAGTCGTTGTGGACATAAAACTAAACTACTTTTTACGGCAGAGTGGGGATGACCATGGCAAAGATACGAAAATGCTACTGGATTCCAAAGCTACGACAAGAAGTAATCACTTGACAGAACCGAGTGATGGGGATGCAAGAGGTGCCTGGTCCAAGCCTATGAAAATCCATCACCCGGAAACTTACCAAAAACTCCAACCAAAGAAACACCGCCGTTCAAAGTTGTTGGCGCCGATTTCGCGCGTCTAATCCAGCCTTTGCTAAGACAACGAAGAAAGCGCACCTGCATGAACCTGCATGGTTCTGTACGGATGCAGCCTAACGTGAGAAACATTCAAGGCAGCTGAAAAATTGCTAAAGAGTGTTCAACGGGACGAACAATTGAACTACTTCCTTTCTGAACGTGTGAACGAATGGATATTCAACGTCTCATTGCGTTGCTCAAACCGTTTTATAACCAGGTTTCTTAACATGAGATTTGTTAACATTTGATCGCTTGCTTCCTATTGCTCTTCAACCATGCACTTATACTTGATTGATGCAACACACTATATCTCGAGTGGTTTAGATACTGGACTGCGCACAAATTATATACAGTGCTTGCTTAATTTTTTAGGAGACAATGAAATTACTTTTAAAATATAGACGCTGATCTTATCCAGTTACTTTATAACCGAAATAAACATTATATATGAAATCTGCTCAATGCGTGGAACAGGTGTCGCAATGATATTGAAATTAATGCTGCCTCAGCCGTTTTCAGTACTATACAATGGGCCAATGGCGAATTGTTTCTGACTTTCTGTCTATGTACAGTAGTCTTTAGATACGAATTTTCCAGAAAATATCCAAGAAAAACATTTTATTAAAAGCTTAACATATATTCCACACATTTACAGTTTAAACTATAGGTTAGAAGTTTATCTACAAAGAATTCTTTTAATCTGGTATTTCTTGTTTTCTTGGTACGTTTCTGTTCTATAAGACGAGAAAAAAATAAATATAGGTACCATGAAAATAGCTGCATAAGATATTCACTGATTCAATTAAAAAAACATAAATCTGAATTTCATCGAACACAATCTAATCGAGGGTAAAAGTCTATGTAATGTCAATCAGGGGGTGTGCCTGGAATTAAATATTCGCGCGCTAAAACAGCAAATTTTGAATTTTATACATGCATGAATACGTATCTACCTTATTTGTTGCAATGTGGAACTTCTGGTGCTCTAACGCAGTCTGATTGTTTGCCACATTCAGGTTCAGCGCAACAACTGTAGCCAGTGGGACTGGACTGCACAGAAGAATAACTTCCGTCTTTCTCACATTGAGGGATATATCCGCCAATCCATTGACAATATTTGTTTCTTGCCAAGCCGACTGCTCGTTTAAATTGACAATTAGAGAACTCTAATTTGAGAGAAAAGAGTAATAATTGTAGAGTAGTTTAAATAATTATATGCTAAGCTATCAATTAATAATTAAAACATCAAAATCATATGGAGCGAAACTTACTATAAAAATTAACCTAAGTTAAGGGAGATTCAATATATTGCGAGTTTAAATGGCTATTTGAATATAATCAATAAAATTTTAAACCCGTTCATTTTGCCCTCTCGATATCTACTTTTTATCTCCAAAACTATGATAAACTTATCATGTTATTGCGTGCTATTCATGTCCCATGTTTAATTTCGATTTGCACCTTAAAATGTAGCTGTATTAATTTGGAAAAACATACAATAAAACAACAGAAACAGTTCGCGAGAGTTTTAACTTTGTTCTTAACCTTATTGCCGCCGTTTCCATGGATTTCGGAAGCAGCGGAAATGTCTCGAAGACAATTTGTAAATTTAAGAAAAAAACTATTACAAAAGATAATATCATAACTTACCCTTTTTGGCGCACTCTGGTCTTTTTGGGCCAATAACACATTCGCTAAGACTTCCGTTGCAAAAATCTGCGCAACAAAACATATTGGCCAGCGGTGTTTGTATAGGACTGTAAGTTCCATCTTCCTGGCATTTTGGAACAAAAACACCCTGAAGCCCAAGTTTTACAAGTTTCAAAGCGTCTGCTCGCCTTTTTTCGCAGTCTAAACAAAAAGACAGAGCTATATGTGCAACTAATCCAGAATATGTTGTCTTATGAAAATCTTATCCCCAAACCATGAAACTTCTAACCATAATGGATCTTTTGCATAATAAAGCAACTTACAACAGGCTTGTAGTTAGATCTCAACTTCTGCCGGGGGGGGGTCTGATAAAAGCAATGCTAAATTTGCTACGATAAGTTACCTAAATTCCTGAAAAATTCTGTTGGATTTCCTCGATTTATTTTCAACTGGGGGGGCACTTCCCCCCCCCCAGGCCCATCCTCAGCTACGGGCCTGGCTCACAACACAGTTATTAGAATATACATGGTTTGGAGACTATATGGAAGTACAATACAATTTATAGTCTATGTTATTGTCCAAGTTCATGCAAAAATGGCTATATTTTCCCTGTTTGTGGCCTAA